AAACGTTGCGCGTCCAAATTCAAACGGAGCTGCTAAATGTTGTGCGACAGACGACGCATCAGCTGGCGTCGGGTGGTACGCTGCAAGCTAGTGCAGGTGCCAACAATCCGCTGCTAACCCTCCTGGAGATCATATTCAAGCAATTCAAAGCTATTGCCAAGACACATACGCTGCTGCTAAAAAACTATTTGGCTGTGGGTCAAAAGTATGCTGTTGTGGGACCACAATCCTACGATCTGACCGACTTTTGGGCTCAGGCGCAGTCAGTAGTAAGTATAACTATAAAAAAAAGCAACAGCTGTACTTTAAAATGTTTTTCTTTTTATCACAGTTGCAACTGCTGCTTACGGATTATTTGGACATACAAAATGCATCGGCGGACGAGAGCTCGCAAACGGGCTTTGTGGAACCTATAAACAATATTAATTCTTACTTTCTAAGGCGCAAAGTTCCAAGGTTAGTTATCTGCTCTTACAAAATAGCTTATTGTACCTAAACCTTTTTTAATTCTCAACGGCTAGCACGAAAAAGGCCATGTTCAAGTTTGACAAGTCCTCGCACGGTAATGTGAACAGTAGCAGTAACAGCAACAGCACACATGAGCCTTTCAAGGAGCATCGACGCAATGCTTCAGATGCCTCTGTTGATGACAATTTGGTTGTCAATCTGCTTGGCAGCAGCAAGGGCTCTTTGACTGGCCTATTGCCTCATGAGAAGAAACAACGAGAGAAATTGTTAATATGCACTCCCGATCAGAATGTGATCACCAAGGTGTATCTCCCAATAATGGGCTACATACAAGAAATTGAGAACTTTATGAAGTGCAAGCCAGGGTTAGCTAACAATTCTAATATCATCAACATCATTATCTCACTTATATCTCTATCTATCTATATCATTTATTAGGCAACCTTGTAGCCTGCACGACTTTGTGGATAATTATATAAAGGATACATTCCTATCCAAGGGTCACAATCGCAATTTGCAGTTGACCATTGAGTCACTATCAAAGAATCAGGATGCCTGGCGTGCCATTATAACGCCCGAGGAAATGAAAAGCTTAAATTTATCTCGGCCATTGCTGCAGTCCACTGTCATGGTAGAGCGTCGGCTGGTGGAGACCAAAAATTTAATTGAAGATTTGCCTTGCTACTCGGAAGAGTTGCTCAAGATGGTGTGTGCGCTTCTCAAGGCCTATCGCGAGATATGCCAGGCGGCCTACAGGGGTATTGTACAACCGGATTCGGAGGATAAGCGCATCTACAGCGTGGCCTGGTTAAAGGACGAGGATATAAGTCGATTTTTAAAGTAGCCATCTTTCAATTAAGTTCGCCTTGACAATTAACTAACTCGAAATTTGTTCCCTGTTGCAGAACGCTGCCCAATTGGACGGATCTTAAGACCTCCAGCCAGCGTGCACGCCATACGCGCAAGCTGCAACGTGGAAACTTTGAGCCGTCCGAGGAGGAGAGTCCGCTGCAGGTGCAGCAACGTAATATACGCGAAGCCGAAATGTTAACCAGCAATTTGGGAGAGGGTGGCATAACACAGCAGGAGATACTGGCTGACATAAGCGTGCTCAAGGAGTTGGCTATACTGCAGGAGAGCATGGAATGGTTCTCTTGTCGCGTCTCGGAGTTTGCCAACGAGCTAAGGCGTCCATTGGTCAACGGTTTGAATGCAGCAGCGGCAGACTGTGCGGCAAACGTAGCGATCAAGGATGGCACCATCAAAGTAATGACTAATCTGGCATTGGAATTCGATGAGTTGGCCAACACGTGCCTGCTAGTACTGCATCTAGAGGTGCGCGTACAATGCTTCCATTATTTGCGATCCAAGTCGAGCGTCAAAACCAACAGCTATGTAGGCTCAAAGGATGATATATTGGAGCCAGATCGTCAGGTACTAGTGCTAACGAAACGGCTATCGGAAATGGATGAAGCATTCAGTGCCACCCTGCATCCGCGCAAGACAAGGGTTAATATTACCTCTCTCTCTGCCTAACGCTCCATACTGTTCTCTAACTTTTTCAAGATTTCTTTTTAGTACATATTCGAGGGCTTGGCACATCTGGCAGCACGCATACTTATTCAAGCCTCCAATTACTTGGAGAACATTGATCAGATCACCGTGCAACGCATGTGTCGCAATTCTATTGCCTTGCAGCAAACGCTGAGCAACATTACGGCGTCAAGGGAGATTGCACTAGATCAGGCGAAACATTTCTATGAGCTGCTCTGCATGGAACCAGATGTAAGTGATTGAAGAAATCTGAAAGTCAAACTTTTAACGTCCACTCTTGCAGGAAATACTAAATGCCTTGCTGGAACGCGGCACACAATTCTCAGAGATGCAATTGCTAAATGCATTGCAGTTGTCTTGCAAGGCCTGCGGCATAACCGATGTCAATTTATTGGCTTCCTATCAGCAAAAACTTTCCGATATACTGGGCGCCAAGCCCTCCAAGGGTGTTGTTGTATAAAAGATACAAGCAAGAGGAATAGCAAGATATATTTTTTAAATAATTGCGCCTTGTATGCCCACTCAAACAGACATCAATAATAGTTTTTAATGTGTAAGTGCAAAGAGTTTGGTAGTGTTAAGCCCAAATTGATTATAAATGTTTTGAACATGTTGGCATGCACTTGGTGTTGCGATATAGTCCTTTATATACGTGTATTCTAAAGTTCGTGAACATGATTGTAATATGGCTTATACACAATAAAATGAAAATGTAACAACGAAAAAAATATTAAATTTGAATAAAACACAAGCCGGTTAAGTGAGGAGCAGTTGCCTTCTGTTTCTGTTAAGTGTGGAGTGGTTCTGTTAATTCAGCAAAGGCTCATGTGGGGCCGATGTCTTTACATTTCGGCTACCTGTCGTTTGCCAACACTAAAGAATAATTGCCGCGAGAAAAAAAATCACTCATAAATAAACATAAAATAATGCCTGAACAAGTTGAATCGACTTCAAAACTGAATGTAAGCAGTGAGATTAAATCTCCATCTTATGATTTAACCAAGTTCCGTCTCAAACGCATACTCAACAACAATAGTAAATGCAAGAGTATAACATTACTCGGCACTTTCCCGGACTTATCGGAAACTGACGCCGCTATTGTTGTTTTTGAGAAAAATGGTAAGTAAGTCGGGTGTGTCATATTGAAAATTCATTTTTTTTTATTCATGTAGCCTATCGGGAGAGCGACGTGGCAACTGGAGTGTCGGCGAATAAAGAGTCGGAGCCGGAGCCTAAGCCGAGTTATTTTAGCACCGACCTACAAGTTCGAACCGATTTTATAAACAATATATACGCGAGTTTTCAGTGTGTGCCCACCCAACAGCTGTGTGGTATGTACAGTAAATAGTCAACTTGCAATTGTATGACCAGATGTAAATTGTTTTTCCTTCGCTAACAGCGGTGAAGGGCACAGTGATTTATCCGGCCACCGACAAGCACATTGAGAAATATTCTATATGCCAGAAGTACATAATAAATGAAACGCCAGATCTCTATAAATCCGTCACGCTGCCTTATATTAGCACAAGCCAGTTCTCACTCGACTGGGTGTACAATATACTTGAACATAAGCAGGAAACTGAACGAATTGTTTTCGAAGATACTGATCCTGAAAATGGCTTTATACTACTCCCGGATCTCAAGTGGGACGGACGCAACGTGGATAACCTTTATTTGCTGGGTATAGTGCGCAAGCGGGATATTAAATCATTGCGTGATCTCAATGCGAGCCACTTGCCGTTGCTACAAAATTTGCGGCAGTCCGCCAAGCAGGCTATACAGCAGCGCTATGGCTTGAATCCCACCCAGCTGCGCATGTACTTCCATTATCAGCCATCGTTCTATCATCTGCATGTACACATCAATCCGATCAGAAATGATGCGCCTGGCATTTGGTGCGAAAAATCGCATATGCTCGACACGGTCATTAACAATTTGGAGCTAGTGCCGGATTACTATCAGCGCGCCAGTCTGCCATTTGTTTTATATGAGGGCAACAAGTTGTTGGATTTATATGACGAACAGTTGGAGGTACGGACAGTATCAACTCAGCAGGCAAACGAAGCAGACGATGTTGGACCAGAGGAAGCACCCGAGGCATTCACCGACGAGGAACCTGAAGAGGCGCGTCAGTGCAAGCGCATTAAGCTAAGCACCCCAGAGAAGGATTCCAATGAAGCCGAGCTTGTTGCAACGCCGTGTGCTTAAGTATGGCACCAAATTTGATCTATATTATCAATGTGATTTGATATAACAGCAAGAATAAAAGTAGAAATGCATTAAATGTCTTCTTTTTTATTTTTTTTTGTCAGTTTTCGCTTTATTTATTTATTTATTTAATAATAGTGTTGCTATGTTTGTTGTGTATTTCTGTTGTAGTTTGTGGCTGCTTTATGCTACGATCTTGCTTTTGTGGCCTTTTTTGCATATTCTATTTGTAATACGTTGAAATACATTCACTGCCTTTGGGGATTTTTTGTTCATATGTCTTTCACGTTAGTTGTTATAAAATGATTTATGTGTCAATGAAAATAATCGTGGGCGCCTAAATGCTATTTTTGAAATAGGTCGAGTGTTTTTTATTACATTTTTTTGTTTGTTGATTTTTGTGGCAGCCGCCTTTGAAATGTTTTTAGAGTTTTATAATTTTTTCGGTTGTTTAGATTATATTCGAGAATGCCGAATTCGATTCGGTATTTTCGAAAGTCGTGCTTAGCGAATGCTTCGATTTTATAAGCTCGTCTCTGGCTTACGAGCTACAGCAGCTGCGTGTGTATGTGTATATGTATGTTATGTGTGTGTTCGAGTGAGTGTGGGATACACGTCTGAAATCTCTTGCTTGGAAGCCTTGTACAACATCTTTTAAATATACATATACATAAATATTATTTCAAGTACATACACACATATACGTATATATACATATATATGTATACATATGCAATACATATATAGGTATATAAAAATAACAAAAATAATAGTAGCAATAAAATCGTAGTATGTAATTTTTTCATTCCATTAATAAAAACAATGCGCACCCCGCCGGCTTCGCCCGAATACTTTCATCGTCTTCAATTGCTGTGACTATTGCTACTGTTGTGGACCGTCGCGCCCTCCATGTCCGCCTGCTCCTCTGGCACATACATGACAGCAGTGCTGGGCGAAGTGTTGACCGACATGCTGGTCGTCATCGTTTTGTCCGCATCTGAGATAGACCAGTTACGCTCCAATTGCTCCAGCGCGGCCATCGTTGCCGTTGTGGTCACGCCTGCGCCCGAACTTTCCGCGCCAGCGCCATCACTGAGGACTCCGGCTCGCAGTGTCTCCTCAAGTAGGGCCTGAATCTTGTCCTGATCATCCAGATGCACAAAGCCCAATCGCACCAACTCACTAGTCAAGTCCGCCGCCGTATCGTCCTCGTTCACCTGACACGTTAGCTGTCGATTCATTTTGTCGTCCATTCGCAACAGTATGGTCATCAGTATATCGTTGCTGTCCTCCTTCAGTTTCTTCACGCTGCACATCATGTTCACAATGCGACGCGACTCAGTGTCCACCGGCTCCGGCGTTGCCGACTTGACCGAGTCGGCACGTTCGGGCGAGGCAGCGCGCGAACGAAAATGTGGCGGCTTCTTGCCACTGTACGTGATTAGCGGATAGACACCATACTTTACATCCTCCACGAATTTTTCCAGCTTATCGGCGCCGGGCACATCCGATAGTCGAAATTGACGCTCATTACCGCCAGACAACTTGAGCTGCGCCATTATCACATCCGGGTGATTATAGCGCTGCATTAGCCCATCGAAGGCTGTCTCCGAGAACATTGTTCGATTGGCGGGCGAGAAGACCAGACAGTGGGCGGCCAGTAGTTTTAGTGCATGCACCTGTAAGGATTATTCAAATTTTATCACTATCTAGTAAAAATTATAAACAAGCTATTAATAATAAGGGTATAAGCAACAAGTGAAACGAAAGTGCCTGACTGGGATACTCTTCACCTATCGCATAAATCACAAGGTAACAAATTGTTTCTCCGGTAACTTATTTGATGCTCAAATTCATGTATAAATTTGTTGGCCGTTTAAAAGGGCTTTAAAAGCTTTAATTCTTACGCCATTCACATACATGTGAACAAATTATATATATCCTATTCGGACATTCTCTTTTTTATTACAGGGTATATGAACAAGAAATATCAATTGATATGCGGCTTCAAAGCTAAAGCACTTTCCTAATGCATGCATCTATTTTCGAATCCACTTTTGAATTTTTTGAAAAACTCAATATATTTCAATTAATATCAGTAGAACTAAGGAACAGCTGTAGCTAAAGGGGAATCGATAAACAGATTTAAAACATATATAGTTAAGGTAAATAATCACAGGATACTTACATATGATTACTCGAAATTTATTTCATATATTAGGTGTTTTATATTTTTATTATTTGTCTTTGGGTTAACTCACCTCAAAGAGCAGTGGATGAAAAAGCAAGTCGCTAGCACTTGGTCGATCTTGGGGTTGTGGATTAAGACATTTCAGTATCAGATCACGTTGCAGATCATTGTCAAGGCTATTAATTGTGCGCAGTATGGTCTCCTCGTTGATGGCAGTCGATTCGCTGTTGCTAGACTGCGGCTGTATCTCCAGCGCGGCCATTTCCAGGGCACACATGCCAAAAGCGTAGATGTCGACGGCGGCGGTTAGTTGCTCGGCGGCACCATATTCAGGTGCATGAAAATAGTGCGCACCACGCTCCCGTTCACGTTCCGGCAACTGCTCTAGTTGATCAAGATGCTGACGGCGCACGCTATAATGCACCGCATCCGGGACCACAGAGCCTATTTTGACCAGACCATTGTGCTGTATGAAAATGCTATCACAGGTTAGATTGCCATGAATGATGGGCGGCGAGCAGGAATGCAAATAACTGAGCGCGGACAGGATCTGAGTGCACCAGCGGCGCCACGATTCAAGCGGCAATCGCTTGGCATTGCGCTTGGTGCGCTTGAGGAACTGTTTTAATGAACCGGACGACATGTACTCTGTGATGAAGATGACGCGCGGTCGCTCGGCTTGCAAAGTGTCCGTCCAGTAGCGATGAAACTTGACAATATTCTGATGGTCCAGCTGTAGCAGGTTGTCAAACACCTGACGCATCTTGTCTTCCTGAGTTTTCAGCTCCTGCAGCTGCGCATATTGCACCTCATTCCAGACGACCTCAACACCCTCCTCGGTGTCCATGGCCAGATGCACACAATCAATGCCAGGCACATCTCGCTGATCGACCTCCTCGCGTCGCTTTAGCCACCGACCACAAGGCGACTCCTCCAATATTTCACTCTCATCCTCCGAATCATCGCCAGACTCGCGCGGCGATGAGTCTACAGCCAAATTGCTGACGCCTCCATCGCCAGCAGTTATGGATGCTGCTGCTGTTGTTGTTGTAGTTGTGCTGGAGGCGCCTACTAAGTGCGATGCAGCACTAGTTGCAGCTGTAGACGCCGGTTGTACCGTGGAGCTTTGAGCTGTTGTGGATGCGGTCGTCAGATTGTTGGCGGTGGCAATTGTGGTGCCCGCTGCCAGGGTAATTGCATTTGGATTCGGATTGGGATTCGTTTCATCCACGACACTACCGCTGCTGCCGGCATTTGCTTGGCTATTTGACATTAGGGCGCGGTCGTCGTTAATTGCTCACAAAAGCAGTTGAACCGCTGTTGTTACTTCTACTAATGCGTCTTGCTGTTGTTGTTGGGTTTGCTCAATTGTTTATTTCAACGTTTCTTCACTATTTGCTTGAAATCTTGGCTCCGTGTTTGCTCTGCTCCAACTAAACCAGCCGCTGTCGTCGTCGCCGACGCCGCCGCCGCTGCTCCACAGCCGCAACTTCTGCCCACACACTCACACACACACACACACACAAACACGTACTCTCCGCTACCACCCTTCTCGTTCACTGCCTATGACTCTTCAACCGTTGTTCAATAACACACTGTGTATTGCTAAACCTGCTGTTGTTGCCGTTTGCGTCCTCGACTCTTAATGCCTTCTAGTGCAGTAGCTGAGTTAGTTAACTAACTGCGCTTATTGGTCCTGATGTGCGGCCGTTTTGGCTTGTTTAGGCGTTTTTTTCACGCTTTTAAAACACCCAAAAAATGTGAGTAAATCGATGCATCGATGCTATCGATAATTACCAGACGATGTATCGTTATCCGATGTTTTGTGTGCAATTTTGAGCACGAGTATTATACACTTAGAAGGTAGCATTGACTTGATGTGTGTGACGTCACACATACAGCGAGTCATCATTGCAAATGTTTTTTATTATAAGTTGAAAATAAATGTATGTTGGGAGTAGTAATATTATTGGGTCATTAAAATGCTGACACTAAAATTGTAAATATCTTCGATGACGTGTGGAAAAATATCTAATGATAATTGACTGGTTTGAACAATAATCGCTCACTCCGTCAACCACCACTAGAGATATCGAAAACAGGGCTCACTGTCAGCTTGCACTCGCGGCTTTTATAGATTCTATTTTAGTATAAATTTTACTTAATATAATTTATGCAAACATGGACAGCATAATTGGGCGCAACCAGTTCGTCTCAGAAACAGCGAATCTCTTTACAGATGAGAAGACGGCCACAGCCCGTGCAAAGGTTAGTAATCATTAACGTGCCCAATCTGATGCGGCTGCTATTTGAAACTGCCCGTTTTGCTCTTAGGTTGTGGAATGGTGCAATGAGTTTGGCACAGCGAATGCTACGTTGAAATGTGAGTTGCTCGTTAAAGTTCAAGAAATTGTCCTCAGCTCATGTGTTGAGCTTGCCGAGGAATTCTTAGAACCGGTGCTGTCGCTGGCGCACGATCAGAATCAGGAGGTGCGCAAGCAAGTGGTCTCATTCATAGAGCAAATATGGTAACTATTTACGAAGATCTATAGATGTGGAAATCTGGTGTAAGAGCAAAGAGTGTTAACACATGCTATTTTTTCAATCTATTTCACTTACAGCAAGGTCAAAGTCGAGTTGCTGCCATATGTAATTAATGTGATATCGATGATGTTGCGGGATTCCTCGGCACAGGTCATCAAGCGTGTTATACAGGCTTGTGGCAGTATCTACAAAAACGGGCTGCAATATTTATGCAGCCTGACTGATGCCAGCGATAGTGCCGAGCAAGCATGGAGCGTCCTGAGTTTGATAAAAGCACAAATCCTGGATATGATTGACAATGAGAACGATGGAATACGCACAAATGCCATTAAGTTTCTGGAAGGCATCATAATATTGCAAAGTTATGCGGACGAGGATAGCATGAAACGCGAGGGCGACTTTTCGCTATCTGATGTGCCGGAGCAGTGCAAACTTATCAGGCGCCAGAAGCTGCAGGACGAGGGCACCAACATATTTGACATTATGCTGCAGTTCCATGGCACTACACACATCTCATCAGTGAATCTGATTGCCTGCACAAGTAGTCTTTGTACAGTGGCTAAAATGCGTCCCATTTTCATGGGCTCCGTCGTGGAGGCCTTTCGTCAGCTCAACAATAACTTGCCGCCCACACTGACTGACTCGCAGGTGAGCTCAGTGCGCAAGAGCTTGCGCTTGCAGCTGCAAATGCTGCTCAAACTGCGCGGCTCCTTTGAGTTTGCTGGCACCATACGCAATATACTAATGGATCTTGGTGCCAGCGCCAATGAAATACAAAAGATGCTCCCCAAAATGGACAAGCAAGAGATGGCCCGCCGACAGAAGCGCATTTTAGAGAATGCAGCACAGAGTTTAGCTAAAAAGGCGCGTTTAGTGGAGCAGCAGCGGGAAAAACCGCAGCAACCGCGAGAGATGGAACTGGATGAGGAGGAGCTGGAACGACAGCGGCAGAAAAGTACGCGTGTCAATGAAAAGTTTCTGGCGGAGCATTTACGTTCCACTGAAACTGTGGTCAATCTTGTTGTTGAGTTTTTGCCCACATTGCCGGAGGCCGCACCAGCTAAATTCTTAGCGGAGTACACACCAATCAAACAGCTGTCCCTGCCACAACAAGTAAGCAATATTTCCCATCAATTTGGACAGCAACTGACGGAGTTGCGACTTGGACCCGGCTCGGCTGCGTTTAGTAAAGAGCCGCCAATGAGACCAAAGAGTCAAGCGACTCCTGCCATATCAGATGCAGCAGCTGTCGCTATGGATGTAGACGAGGCGCCAGATAAGCTAAGCGAACAGGAGCTGCAACGCAAGGAAGAAGCCACCAAAAAGTTGCGTGAGACCATGGAGCGCTCTAAGGGCGAACAGACGGTGATTGAGCGCATGAAGGAGCGTGCCAAGACACTCAAGTTGCAGGAGATTACCAAACCTCTGGCACGCAACATTAAAGAGAAGTTTCTGCTGGATGCCATCATGCGCATCCTTAACTCCGAGCGGCAGTGCATCATGGGCGGCGTGGCAGCCAAGCGCCGCAAATTGGTTACTGTTATTGCCGCCACATTTCCGGATAATGTGCGTTATGGCATCATGGACTTTATACTGAGCGATATCAAGCAGCGTATAGATCTTGCCTTCTCCTGGCTCTTTGAGGAGTACTCCTTGCTGCAGGGCTTTACACGCCACACCTATGTAAAGACGGAGAACCGTCCAGATCACGCCTACAACGAATTATTGAATCAGCTTATATCTGGCATCAACGAGCGCTGTGAGTATAAGGACAGAATCATTTTGCTGCGTCGTCTTTATCTAGAAGCGCCTATTCTAACCGAGGAGGCCGTAGTTCAGCTTGTAAAGCTGTGCCTGGTAGAGGAGTTCATGCCGCATGGCTTGGAGATTGTCAAGGATCTGGCGGTCCTTCGACCGCCACGTAAAAATCGTTTTGTACGTGTGCTCCTCAACTATGCAGTGCACGAACGTGCCGATCTACGAGAGCGTGCGTTGGCGCATTTGATTACCATCTATCATGTGCATAAGATTGTTCCAGCGCGCATTGATGAGTTTGCCATAGAGTGGTTAGAATATGTGGTGGCTGAAACACCACCAAGTGCCATATTCTCGGTAGATTACGGCAGGCCCACGCCGGAGACTGCATGGAAGGAAGATACCGCTAAGGTGTGTCTGCTTCTAGCCCTCACACTGTTGCCCTACAAACCGGAAGGTAAGTTACCGGCTGCACAACCTTAAGAAAAACTAATCTTGACCATTTTTAGTTTATCTGGAGAAGATCTGTCAGGTGTTTACCGAGACGTCGGCAGAACTGAAACGTACCATACTACGTAGTTTGGACGCACCCGTGAAGAAACTGGGCGTGGAGTCTCCAGCGTTGCTTAAGCTGCTGGAAGACTGTCCCAAGGGCTTGGAAACTTTGGTTATACGCATCATTTACATATTGACTGAACGCGTGCCCACACCACATCCGGATCTGGTGCATCGGGTGCGTGATCTTTACAAAAACAAAGTCAAAGATGTGCGCGTGCTCATACCCATTCTGAGTGGCCTTTCCCGTTCTGAGCTAATTTCCGTGTTACCAAAATTGATTAAACTCAATCAGGCCGTGGTGAAAGAGGTATTTAATCGCTTGCTTGGCATCGGCGCCGAGTTTGCGCATCAGCAGATGGCGCTATCGCCCACAGACTTGCTTGTTGCTCTGCACACCATTGATACGAATGTGTGCGATCTTAAGGCCATTGTAAAAGCCACGTCGCTATGTCTGGCCGAGCGTGAAGTGTACACGCAGGAAGTGCTTATGGCAGTGCTGCAGCAACTGGTGGAGATAATGCCTGTACCAACTCTGATGATGCGTACTACCATACAGAGCTTAACGCTGTGTCCACGTCTCTCAAACTTTGTGCTGAACCTTCTGCAACGTCTGATACTGAAGCAGGTGTGGCGTCAAAAGGTAATCTGGGAGGGCTTCCTCAAGACGGTACAACGACTTAAGCCGCAATCGCTGTCTGTGCTGTTGCAACTACCACCCCCGCAATTGGCAGATGCACTGCAACAGTGCCCAGATCTTAGACCGCAACTACTTGAGTACGCGGAGAGCATACAGGACGAGCCCATGAGTGGTATTACTCAGCAAATACTGGACATCATTACCGGCAAATCGGTGGATGTGTTTGTTACGGTAAATCTAATCGATCAGCATGTGCTAGCATAAATTTAACTATTTCCGTATGTTTTGTAGGATGAAAGCGGCGGCTACATCAATCCTGACAACATCAAAAAGGAGCTGTTGGATCCCTCAGATATCAGCGTGATTTCCACAGTGCCGGTTTTGACTACACTACCAGTGGCCGCACCAATGCCCGTACCCGCACCAATGCCACAGCCAGTGCCCGCGCCCGTGCTTAGCGACTTAAATCAACCGTTGCCACCTGGCGAGGATTAGCCTTAGTTTAGTTAAGTTTGTTTTGTTTAGCTTATACATTCGGTGTTTTAGTAAACCCGCTAAAATTAAAATTTTAATCATGGCTGCAACTCGGCTTTCAATTGAACCTGTTTGAACACGGAATTCATATTTTTTTTGTTTTAAATACACACCAAATATATTTAAGCTGAACCATTTTTAAAGATTCGGTTCAAAACAAATTTGGCTACCGATCAAATGCAGCGTGTAACTTCTATATCAAAATATCAATGGATTGCAATAATTTCAGTAGCACGTGCATATGTAGAAAAAAAAACTATGACAAACCAAGGCTTGATGCAGAAACTTGCTTGAAGTGTGTGTTATGTAGGGTTCACGAACCGATCCAATAAGCAGCATTTGTTGTGATGTTGCAGCTATGATTTAGCAGTAAAGCTTAGATTGATTTTAATTAAAGGTTTCTGGCGATTTTCCAGTTCTGTAAGAAATACGTATTCCTTTTAAACAATTAATATAACAAGGCTCGGCATTTTCCTTGCAATTTTGAGAACTAGATTGTAAAGTAAATTATCCGCCAATATTGAACTATTAGGGATCTTTTACAAATTTCTTAAGTATATTTGAATCAAAATAAAAAAAATTATCAAACTGTTTACGTTTAAACTTTCATAAATCGTACGTATAAATAAATGCCATTTTGGATTTGTGGTTAATAAATTAGGACACTTTCCGTGCGAAATCAACACAAGCGCAAGCTTCGCAATCCATGATTTATGGATTGTCGTCATGTGGGCAAGTATAAGTGAAATGCATTGAGCAACACTTTATTAATAGAACAAACAATATTGATATTTTCAAAAAAGCTCATTTAATAAGTGACTGACTTAATATGTATGCATATTATAATTATTTATGTCCCCAATTGAAATAGCTTCCTAATTATTTACATTGATTATTAACACATGTAACATTTGTGAAGGTTATATATAGGTCATATTCTTTCTTATTTTGTGTACCATTTTTGAAACCTTTATTGATATATCTCATTAATAGACATTTGGGGTAGACCATGATCACTTGATGTTAAACCTTACAGAGGCAATTAATACACTTGAAGTCAAATGTTTGGCTAGTTTGGGCTTTACACAATGCATGACTACTTTCTTTCGGCTATCGTTTTGTTGGTAGTCATTGCGGTTGCTGTAAAGTCTGCTTCTATATTTATAACGCCATTCAACATCCCGTTTTATAAGCTCTATAATCCAGCAGAGACCGAATTGGGTATCAAGCATCCCACAACGGTAAGTCTCTGAGTTTTGTGGTTTATTTGATCAAAATTCTGAACAACATATTTAATAAGCGGGATCGCATTGCTGATCATGGTTATCCAGTAGAGCATCACCACATCGTTACCGAGGATGGCTACATTTTGGGCGTCTTTCGTATACCCTACTCGCACAAATTGCAGAATCAAAATGAATACCGCCCAATTGTGCTTATTCAGCATGGTCTAATGGGTGGCTCGGATGCTTGGGTGTCCGTTGGTCCAAACGACGCTCTGCCCTACATGCTTGTCGATTCGGGTTACGATGTATGGCTGGGAAATGGACGTGGTAATACCTACTCAAGGAATCATACTTCGCGCTCCACAGAGAAGACCGACTTTTGGTGCTTTAGCTGGCACGACATTGGTTACTATGACATAGCTGCTACGATAGATTTTACCTTGAAGATAAATGGACAGGGACAGCAATCCATCCACTATGTGGGCCACTCACAGGGCACTACTGTATTTTTCACATTGATGTCCTTGCGTCCCGAATACAATGAGAAGATCAAAACGGCCCACATGTTTGCTCCCGTAGCGATTATGACTCATATGAAAAATCAATTAGTTCGTTTATTATCATTCATTCTGGGACATAGGAATATATTTTCAGTTTTATTTTCTAACATGGAGTTTTTACCATACAATCGCAATATTTTAACGATGATCTCTAATATTTGTGGGCACAATCGGCTGTTACGACCAGTTTGTGTCTATATTGTTCAAAAATTTTACAATGGTCGCCGTTGGAATAAGGTAAGCTAAATTAGGCGATATAATTCATAAATCTGATCAAATTCTATTAAGTAGACTGCCCTGTCAGAAGGTATTGGTGTACTGCCGGCTGGCTGTTCCACAAATCAAATACTGCATTATTTGCAGGAACTGCAGTCGGGTCATTTTCGACAGTATGATCACGGGCCCAAAAAGAATCAGGAAGTGTATAGATTGAAGCACCCACCAGATTATCCAGTCGAGAAAATAACCTGTAAGGTACACTTGTGGTATTCAGACAACGATGTTATGACTTCGGTGGAGGATGTTTTGGCTTTTGCTAAGCGCCTGCCCAATAAGGAGTTACATCACATAGAGGATCCCAAGTGGGACCACGATGACTTTGCGTTGAATATGAAGCTTCGTAAATATCTAAATGAACCAGTCATTGAGATAATAAGTAATTTTGAAAAGTCTTTAAATTGAATGTCATTAAATCTTTTTGGTAGTCTCTGTGAAATAAAACTAAGTTTACATATATTTTCAACTCTATGTAGAAAATTGAGGGCTATTGCTAGCGACATCAAATTCTTTTTTTTTTTCGCTTTTTATTAAAACTAATAAGTAGACTGCTACAATTAACGAAAAGGGGTTGTTTTCTAAAGATCTATAGTAGTTAGGAAATATTTAAAATTTTCCACGGGTGGGAAATGTTAATTTTCTGCTATGCTAGATTTTAAACATCGCCCTACTATGCGATTCTCATGTATTCTAGGAAGCTCAGCTGGATTTTATGCTTTCACCATAAGTGTTGTATAAAAAATTGTTGTTGGCAATCTGATAAACTATATCCTAACTTATACTCTATGCACTTAAATTATCTTTCTCCCTCTTCCTTCGCTCTGGTATTTATTATTATTATATCGCTCTCCTGGTCGTTCGTTTTTATCCTCTTTTAATATCAAACTTGAATATATTTTCCTGTGCCGAATTAAGAACTTTTTTCTTAGGCTAAATTTGCTGTTTTTTGATGAACTGCGATGTGTGGTCTCTAATCAGCTCTATATTTAGTTAAGTTAATATAACCATCACGGGAAATCGTTTGCGGGATTAATGATAAGTTAAGCCACGTCAATTAGATAAGCATGTGTAGCATTCTTCGATTAATACCCATTTTTTTTGGAGAGAACAATTTATAATAATTGCCCTTTATTTGCCAGTAATTTTTGTGTTGCAAAGTTTACCAGCTCAATAATTTAATTATTTAATTTTATTAGAGGCCTGAATGTCTGTGAGATGTTGATTCTCCTCAAAAGCTCTGTAAAGTTATACAAGTAGCAATTCTTTGTTAAGACGTGTATACTTTTATACTTTTTTTTTTTATTTTCCTATCTTACGTCCCCTTACTTATTGACATATTTGATAATCTAAAACCACTTGATGATATACCGCGGAAAGGCTGCTTAAAACTTCAAGTTAAATATTTGACTACCCGCAGTTGTAGTTCAGACATTTAGCAATGCAGAGTCAATTTCATGTGTTAATTACCTTATTAGCCACCTCAGTGGTTGGCATACTGTCAGCAGCTGTAAATGCACCACCAGCCAATATTGACTTCTATAAGCTATACGACAATCCAGAGGCTCATATAGGTATAAGAGACCGGCGCACAACAGTAAGTCTGAGAAATCTATAGCTTCTGGTGATTTTTTTTACAAACTAAATCTTCAATTAGCGTGAACGTATATCTGCGCATGGGTATCCTGCGGAGCACCACCACATTGTAACTGAGGATGGCTACATTGTGGGCGTCTTTCGCATACCTTACTCCCACAAATTGCAGAATCAAAACGAGTATCGGCCAATTGTGCTTATCCAGCACGGTCTGACTAGTTGCTCGGATGCTTGGATACTCAATGGTCCAAATGATGGTCTGCCCTATCTGCTTGCTGACGCGGGCTTCGATGTCTGGCTGGGAAATGGTCGTGGCAATACCTATTCAAGGAATCATACTTCACGCTCCACAGAACATCCGTATTTCTGGCGATTCAGCTGGCACGAGATCGGATACTATGATATTGCAGCCATGATCGATTACGCTCTGGAGATCAATGGGCAGGGACAGAAGTCCATTCACTACGTGGGCCACTCCCAGGGCACTACTGTATTTTTCACACTGATGTCCTTACGTCCCGAATATAATGAGAAGATCAAAACGGCCCACATGTTTGCTCCCATTGCGATCATGACTAATATGGAAAACAAATTAGTGCGAAAAGTGGGACCCTATCTGGGACATCAGAATAGCTACTCGCTTCTATTTTCTGACCAAGAAATAGTACCATACAACAATATTCTATTAAGTATGTTCTCCAATTTATGCGAGCCGGATCAGATGCTGAGACCCGTTTGCGAAAACGCGTTGGGCAGGCTTTACTCAAATGGTCGTGTGAATATGGTGAGTAAAAACCAACTGCCTAATATTAAGCAAATCTTAAACATAATTACTATGTAGAGTGCCATGCCGGAGGGCATGGCTACGCACCCTTCCGGCTGTTCCGCCAACCAAATGCTGCACTATCTACAGGAGCAGCAGTCAGGACATTTTCGTCAGTACGATCACGGGCCCAAAAAGAATCTGGAAATATATAAATCAGAGCAGCCACCAGATTATCCGGTCGAGAATATAAGCTCTGAGCTACACTTATGGTATTCTGACAATGATAATATGGCTGCGGTGGAGGATGTCTGGGCTCTGGCCGAACGCCTGCCCAATAGGGAGCTGCACCGCATGGAGGATCCTATGTGGGATCATGGGGACTTTGCCCTCAACATGGAGGTCCGTAAATATTTAAACGAACCAGTTATTGAGATAATGAAGAAATTTGAAGAGGCCAATAAAGAAATGTGATTGTTTAGATTAAGGTTATGATTAAGAAAGTTAATTAATCTTTGTTTAAGACTATTTTTAACTAAAGAAAACATTTGTGTTATTGATAACATTGTTTTGTTGTTCATTTTAATGGCCGTAATCTTAGCTGTTCAAAAAAATCGGAACGATTGGCACAGTTCAGGGGGGTTCTTAGATGAATTAAAGCTATTAAGATAATTGTATCAATATTATTGTCGCTGTCAATAAAGCATAGGAGCCATTTCCGAGACAGAGATAAACATACAAAAGTAGGCTGTAGATTTGCTTGCCTATAAATCTCAAGTGGTTACAGCTTCGAACTGGGGACAACAGCTTGTAAATCTGGAGGCTTCATAAACTCTTTTCAAGATAGAACCGCAGGGATCTGGAATTAGCTAGAGGCATGCTGCCTGCTCACGTTTGCTGCTAATATCTTATTGTTGAGAGTTGATGAGACAAACATTGACATCGAATCGTCCTGCTTGCAATTTCGTTAGTTCTTAAGCAATATCATCTGCATAGTTGCTATAGCCAAAAATCCTGTTTGTTTGTTTAAGATATTTTGACCAAATCTATTATTTACGAGCTTTATGTCTCTTTATATCGGACTAGTATAGCTCTGTCACATGGAATCATGGTGAATTATTTTGAGTTTGGGCTTACGAAAATATATCAATGAATCCGTTGTAAAGATAATGCAGCTGTTAATAACTGATTAGATATCTATCTTTACAGTACTCAAAATATGCTTTACTTGAAGATGTCATGCATACATATGAGATATAACAAAATAATTTGTAAATAAGGGAAGTATTTAGCCTTCTGAGCTCTTTGGGTGCACACGTTACAAGCACTTACAAATTAAAAGTTTGCAAATATGTATCTCAATTATTGTACGTTTAGCTGCCAAAATATTTATTAATTGGGCAACTTCCCATATGCATATGAGGACCCAGGCATGAAAGTTCTGACCTCATATCATTGAAAATTCTAATAAAGTTTGGCTCTATACATATTAAATCATTTGGGGCTCGATGGGCTATTCTGGTCTGGTCAATTCTCAAAGGGAAAAGCCAACTTTATGCTTTTTCATTTGAATACATGTGTGTTAAAAGCAGCAGCCAAATTCAAATCAAGTCCTGGCGGATTTATTTAAAAAATGTGAATATACTGAAACTCATTTGGCCTTGGCCTTAGTCTGTAAGTTCAAGGACGCCAAATGGGTCAGAAAATGCGCTAAGCCTGATTTTGATGTAATTAATAAACTTAAATGTAAAAGTAAGAAAGTCATTATTTTTGTACAGCATTTTACCTAATTACATATGATTGATATTGATTTATTTTCTAATAGCTCTTACTAAATTAATATTAATTTGATTTTTTATCTCAATTTCTTAAACTTGAATCGTTATTAATTTGTAATACCCCTTACTTGACATATAAAGAGCTAGTGCTTGACTGCCATCAAATCGGTTGCCAGAAACAAGTGCCAGTTATTTAATTGACATTTAGATTTCAAAATATAATAAGTTTAAGTTTCCATTTCATTTCGCAGCTGCGATTACAGCTGTAAGGTTTCACAGATTGCACGTGGAGATGGCAGTTCTTTGCAACAATGTCGCCTCTAACAAATTTCAAGAGTTTTTTTTACACAACTTTCGCTTACTTGTAGTTGTTAGCTAAAAGTAAATCAAAGTGTACCAGAGCATATTGCAGTTGTGCAGCAGTAAGAGAAGCGTGCAGCCAGCAAGGCGTAGCGAGCAAAAAACACACGGAAGCGTTAAATTGGCTCAAGTGTGCGCAATACAAAAAGAACCCGTTCAAATGTTTTAATAGAGTATACAGGACTAACGGGCATCCTGTGCAAACTAGTTGAGTAGATTAAATAGAGATTATTGTACAGATATGATAGTATTGTATAGTCCCATTTATAAATTCAGTATTAGGATACTAACACGTATTGCCCAGCTTTGCTTGGGTGATACATTAATTGTCTTAATTGTTTTACGTATAAACTTGCAATTGTATTTTAAAAAGGACTTAAATCTCGAACGACTGGAATGGTAAAAAGTTGAATGCAAGTGATTTTAACCAATTGCTTTGGACTGACTACACAGTTGTCAAATTCAAAAACTTTCAAGGATATCTATCCCTTTTCGTAAATGTTAAGGTATTTAGTATAAAAACAAGGAAAAAAAAATAGGCAACAGTGACAAAAACAAGACAAGAGAATCAGATGTTCCCATATAATAAAAAAAATACTTTTACTTTATATCCTATTTCAATACAAGAATAAATTCCCGTTGTCGGGCCAAGAGAATGTTGCACGCGCATTTGTTGATGTTCTGCAGGCGTTGATTGTTTTCGGCGCGGGTCATAAAGTCAAACTAGGTGCGACTCCCAGACAAATTAAAAAGCTTAAAGCAAGACAAAAAAGGTATATGTATATACATTTTCTTTGCACAACACTCTGAAAACGGGTTTATTTTTTGCTTTCGTTGCTGTTCATTACTTTGCAAGCTGTTTTTGTTTTCCTTTTAATCTCTTTGCTGCTTGCCGCTTTTAATATTATACTTTTTTTTTAGTAAAAAATAATAATATCCACTTTTTGTACCAGTTGGTGTCCTCTTGGTTCCTTTCCAAATGCATTTCTGTTTTATTTTATTATGGCTTCGAACCTCCGGTTCGCGTTGGGCTCATTCCAAACAAAAGCAACTAATAACGCCAATTTATTTAATTAAATTTAATTATAGGTTATTGTGTGTCTGTGTTTTTTATCGTACAGGCAGATGACAATCGTATAGTTGCATCTATTCGCTAAGATATTTAAATTAAAATTCCTAACATACTCTAAAATATTGTGCAATTTTTTTGCATAACCCTTACGCACTTTTGCGAAGTCAGTTACATATATTACGCATACGCCTCGCTGCGCACTTGAGGGTTCGCAAATTGAATTCGCACCCGTGCTTACATAAGCCTCACACATTCGCGAGTGACTTAGCTTAGTTACAGTTTTGAGATCAAAGCAGTCAAAAAATAATTAGTTCTCATAAACGTGTTGTATTTGAACATTTTCAATTTGTCAATTGCACAAAGGTCTCATTGCATATTAAATGATATTTTTATATACTTTACATCCAGCATAAATTGTCGCACAATCCATGTGCATTGTGCCTTTATATGGCCATTAATGTGCATTAGTTCATTAGTTGGACTCAATAAGAACCACACTTAATGCAGTCAGAGCGATAACAATGCAACAATTGTACAACAAAGTCTTGTTCATAGTCAAAATAGTTAACCTATTGAAGATTGCACTTGAGTGTTTTTTTTTTTAGCGTCCGCCTGTATTTGTAGAGGGCATTATAATTTTCGTGAAATGTGTAACGCATAGAAGGAGACATGTCTGACCCCGTAATGTATATATATTCTGAATCACAATCAACAGCAGAGTCGATATAGCCCTGTCCGACTGTCGTCTGTCTGTTTCTATGCGAACTAGTTTCTCAGTTTTAAAACTATCTTTATGAGAGAAGTCCCTCATTCTGTTGCACGCAGTACAAATTTCGGAACTAGATTGATCAAATCACTTCATCATATTGCTGTGCTATGCACGATCTGTCAACAAGTAGGTTCTTATATGAATAACAAAAGCAAAGCACTATAAGCATTCTGAAAAGGTTGGGTCTGTAAGGGAATTAAGTCTTCGGCGTACCGGAGATAGGCCGTCTTTCTCGTTTTTTTTTTGGTTACAGCTTCGGGCAGAGGTGTAAGCAAATTGTTATCTATTATTATACATTGTTTATATTTTTAAATGCTCAGTTAGCGCTTCACTTTAACTATGTGTTCACAAATTTGGTCACAAATATCACGCATACGCCATGCATGCATAGAATGTCGTTCATGGCCTTTATGAGCGCATAAAACAAATAAACGGCGCCTAACTTTAATCAGATAAATTTGACTAACAAACCCCAAATCTAAAGAAAATTTCTATGTGCGAATATACACTAACTAACAAATAGCAATTTTTATATCAATGAGTGTGTTAAGTTTATAAGATAAAATAATTTAAATAAACCATATAAAAATGTTTAAACTATGTAAGGGTTTCAAGGGCAGAATATTTCATAGATATCAGACATACACATGTTGTTTAATGGAATCATAACTAGTAGCATCTTGCCAACAGCCAGTTTTAACCAAACACTCATCTAATTATATACAAATAAAGCACCTAAATCGGAGTTATCAACGTGTTGTCTAAAATGTAAACATAACACCTGGCTGACGTGTAAGACGTATGATGATAGGAAAAAAACTGAGAGATATTTAAAATGCGGACTTACACTTTTATCTTAGCCCGGCGCCTGTATAATTTAGAAGCTAATGGCAGACAAAGACTTCCATATAACACGTCAGACTTCAAGAAAGTGGGGGTGTGTATTTATTTATTCAATATAGACGTACGCCTAATCTGTTATTAAAGTCCACTCCCACACAGACAGGCGCACTTATAAGATTTACATGAAATATGAGATCGTCTGTGATAAGCATTGCTGATCTCAAAACCGTAGAAGATGCTCGGTTCGCGTAGGCTTTAAGTTTAGTTTATCGTTGCGACTTGTGAGTGTTACTTGTGTGATCGCTGGGCTAATTGTGATTGTTATCCTGATTCTAAAGGATCAGCAGTGCGTGTCTTTTAGAGTAAACCAATTAAAAGATATTATTGTTTTGTGTGCTTATGTTTGGCGACTAACTGAAGTTCTAGCAAATATTTTGTCTGTATTTATCAAGCCACAGTAAAATAATTCGTTCTTTGTGTACTCTGCGATTTATTTAAATATGTTTTTGTAACATACTTTGAAGCTTTAATTTGTAATTAAAAAATATTTGTACTTGAATCTTAGCCTGTTTTACAAGAATTTACAAGAATCTTCTTACTACAATTGAACAAAAATATTTATAATAAAAATATTTTCGTCACAACTTACTCAAGTTTCAAGTGCTGGTCATTAGGATACACAAGCAAGTGGGGAAAACTTAATGACAAATCGAAGAGCGCTACAGCCATTGTAGCACTATCTGTGCGTGTGTATGTGTGCGCCACTAAACTAATGCAAAAGTAATCAAAGCTAAGCGCATTTAGGCAAAAAAAAAAAAAAAGAAGCAACACGGCAGTGTAATAGTATGATTTTCTTCGTTGATTTAACTTATGTTCGGGTTGCCTTTTTATTTTTAACAACACGTCTTCTTACTGCTAGTACTGTAGAGAGACTGCCTTCCACTTCTTCTCTGCAGCCGCTTTTCTTTATCGATATTTACTTATCGTACTGTTATAATTAACATAGATAGTGACACTATAATACCCTGGCTAGGGTTACCAATGATGCTCTTATCCTATTACAACTCGGCCATCCTGACAAAGAGAGCTCCCGATCTCTGTCTTTTATATGTGTATCTATCTTTATAACTAATGCTTATTGCCTATTTTCGCATCCAATGCTTAAAGTTTTGGCTATTCCAGATACCAACGTACGGGTTGCGAGATAATTGAAAGCCTTCTACATCCTTTAACAAGTATCTATCATTTTTTAAAATCTTTTCTATACTATAAGGCCCTTTATATCTTGGTATTAACTTTTTTGAAACTCCTGGTGTGCTATCAAAATTTTTTACCATGACATAGTCACCTATTTTATATTCTACTGATACTTTCTTCTTTTTATTAATCCGCTCTTCATTTCTGATTTGAGCTTCTTTTTGATATATTTCTCCACTCTTTCTTATATTTTCTAAATTTCTTTTATCACACGTGTTCACCTGTGTAAACTCTTCTAATTTTTCTTTTAATTCATCAACAACTTTTCCTTTCTGTTGTAATCCGAATAACATTTCGCTTGGAAATTTCTTTATGCTTTTGTGTTGTGTGTTGTTTATTGCATATTCAACATTTTCTATAATAACATCCCAATGTAAACCATTTTCTGGCTCCGCCATTTTTGCCATCATCGGACCCAAGTCTCTATTCAACCTTTCCACCTGACCATTTGCTTGCGGACAACCCGTTGCTATTTTAATATGCGTTACTCCCTCATTTTTTAAAAATTCATCAAACTCTTTTGCAGTAAAACAACTCCCTCTGTCCGATACAATGAACTTAGGTCTACTATACGCTCTGAAATAATCTTTTAATGCCTTAATCGCTTCTTTCGTACTTGTTGTCTTTGCTGTATATAGTCTAACAAATTTTGAAAATCCGTCAACCACCGCCAATATATATTTATTAGCCCTTCCTGCATTAATTGGTCCATAATGGTCTATATGGATCATCTCCCACGGTTTGTTTCCTTTCGGTATGCTATGTAATAGTCCTTCACTCTTACCCGTCTTGGGGGCGAAGGCAATGCATTTTAAACAATTCCCTATATGCTTTATTGCTTTTTCCTTAATATATGGGAACCAGTAACTCTTTCCAATGGCATCGATCATCTTATCTCTCCCAGCATGTCCCAACTCATCATGATATTTGTAAAGTACATGTTCTTCCATATCCTTTGGTACATAAAAAACTAATCTGCCATCATTTGTTTTTCTGTAAATGACCCCATTTCTCATTTCGAATAGCTTGTGCTCTTCTTTTTCTAACATCTTTCTAATATCTACCAGTTTGTCATCTTTGCTTTGGCAAATAACTAAATTGTCCTCAAAACTATTGGATTCAATAACTAAAATGTCCTCATAACATCTGCTTAACGCATCCACATGTTGCATTTGCTTGCCCGATCTATGCACTAACTCAAAATCGTAATTTTGTAGTTCTAACGCCCATCTAGCAATTCTCGGATTTAAATCTATTTTGTTAAGCGTTAAAGTTAAAGAGTTGCAATCTGTCATTATTTTAAATCGTTTTCCCTGCAGATATATACGAAATCTGCGTAATGCGTAAATGATGGCTAGCGTTTCTAACTCAAAACTATGATATTTAGACTCTACTTCGGTTGTTCTTTTAGAAAAATAAAAAATCGGGTGTAATTTCCTATCTTCTTTTTTTTGAAATAAAACAGCCCCAAATCCCACTGCGCTGGCATCACAATGTAGTTCTATTTCTTCTTTGTAATTATATATTGATAGTACTGGCGCCTCTAACAATTTATCTTTTAACATATTAAAACACTTAAACTCCTCTTCTCCAAACTTGAATTTCTTATCTTTTTTCAATAAATCATATAAGGGTTTAGCTAATATAGAAAAGTTTAAAATGAACCTCCTGAAGTAGGAGCATAACCCTAGGAAACTTTGTACTCCCTGAATTTTGTTTGGTATTGGAAAGGATTTAACCGCTTCTAACCCTTTTTCATCAGCCCTAACGCCTTTACTATCCACCACAAATCCTAAATATTTAACGCTGCTTTTAAAAAATTCACACTTATCTAATTTCAACTCTAATTTGTTTTGCACCAGTCTTATAAACACTTCCTTTAAGGTCTCCATGTGTTCCTTTATGTTTGTACTTGCTATCATAATATCATCCATGTAAACAATTACCTTATTATCTTTTATCATATCACAAAATATGTTATTAACAAATCTTTGAAATACATGTGGCGCAGTTTTTAAACCCATGGGCATCCTAAGAAATTCATATTGTCCTAAAGGGGTAACAAATGAAGTGTATTTAATAGATTGCTCATTAACAAAAACATGAAAATACCCGTTTTTTAGATCCAACTTTGAAAATACTGTTTTTCCGCATAGTCTGTCTAATAAATCGTCGATCAATGGTAGCGGGTAGTTGTCTCTACATATAATTTTGTTCAGTCTTCTAAAATCAATACATAACCTCATGTCTCCAGTTTTTTTCTTCACTAGTACTATAGGTGATGCATACTCTGAACAACTTGGCCTAATGATTCCATCTTTTAAATAGTCGTCTAATAATTCTTGCAACTTTTCTTTTTCCATATAAGATAACCGCCTAGGTGTACAATTAAATACTTTGTCGTTTTCTAATCTTATGCTTAACTCATGTCTTAATTTTGGCTGATTTGGCCTTTTCGCTTTTACATAAGTATTTTCAAATAAATTTTCAAATTCACACTTTGTGCTGTAATCAATATCTTCACTTAAAATATATATATTTTCTCTTTTGTTAGAATCTTCCCAACTTATTGTTAAGATATCCTTCTCAAAATTCTCTTCTAACACTCCCATGATTTCGCTATTCACTGGCGCTTCATTAACATGATTATTAATTTTAACTGCACTGTTTCCTATATCTTCTATAATCACTTTTTCAATCCCGGTTTGATTATAGATAATTTCATCACTAACAACTTCTTCACTATCAGGTTCGAGCTTAAGCTCTCCATAACTAACTATCTCATCACTAACAGTTTCGATCCCAATCACTTCATTTCTAACTATTTCACCACTAATTATTTTATTTCTAACTATCTCATCACTACCAACTTTATCACCAAGCGTTTCCGGACTAACAATTTTCTCACTAACTAATTCATCACTACCAGTTTCATTACTGACTATTTCCTTATTAACGATTTTATCATTTAACAATATAGTTTCATTTTGCTCGTGTTTGATATCTTCATCGTCCACTTTTTTTTGTTTTTCTTTGTAGCTTGTAGCTATGATATCATTTTTACCATTATTCTGGTGATCAACTTTATGCCCGTTCACAATTTTTAATGTTCTTAAATCAATATTTAAACCAAAAGAATCCATAAAATCTCTACCAAGCACAGCGTCATACCTCATAGACTCATTTGCCACAATTATAACATTAAAATAAACATTTATTAACTTTTTCTTCATAAAACATAAAATTTTTCCAAAATTTTTCAATTTACTTTCATTTAAACCTACATACGAATTTGCATCTGGCATACGCTTTACTTTTAATGGCACAAACTTTTCCTTTAAAAATGAAATAGGGCTGCCAGAGTCTATAAGGCATTCTGCAATTATTGATTTGTTAAATGAGTTACTAAAATGAATTCTTAAGTATCTTACATATTTGTTTTCCATATCATACTTTTTATTTGGACATCCTGCTATTAAATGATCCTTTGAGCCGCACGCATAGCAAGATCCTGCCTCCCGTTTGGGCTTTAAACAATCTTTGGCCCAATGGCCCTTAACATTGCAATTGTAGCAACGTTGTTGTTTGTCCGCCTGTGCTTCCTGTGCAGTTTGTTTCACTACATGGTTTCGTACCCGTTTAATTGGCAACTTTATAGCTGCAAACGCACGTAAAATTTGAGCCGGATTGGTAAAGCAATGCATACTAGCTTGAGTGCGCAAGTTTTCGCAAGGTATGCCTCGAATAATACCCTCCATTAACTCCTCTACATCAATGTTGATGTCCTGTGCCAATATGCTTTTTTCGCTAAAATATGTGGCGAACACCTCATCTGGTTTCCAAACCCGATCCTCGAACTTCCGTCGTAGTTCCGACTTCGAAAATCCTCCCCCGAAGGCCAAAACCAATTGATTTAGCATCTCGTCAATCGGAGCAATGATGCGCATAGGGTCTGCATGCAACCACTTCAAAGCACCGCCTTTCAATTTGCTTATACAAAGCAAGTGCTGTTGCATATCATTTAGTCTGTAGATCTTGGCCACATTGAAGAATTGCATTACCCATTTACGCACCTCACTTTCTCCAGTAAATTCTAATAAAATTTCCTTGGCTAACATCATCGCTCCAGTTTGGATGCAATTATTTAAGTTGCCTCCGACAGCGTTGCCACTTTCGTCGATCCTTCCAGCTGCCCCAGCGTTGCCCGCTGCACCAGCGTGATCAGCTGCACCAGCGTTGCCATCCGTTCCAGTGTAATCAGCTGCACCAGCGTTGCCATCCGTCGACCGTGGTCTTTCTTCAGTGTGACCATCCTCTAGCTGCAATAAATCGCCGACTTCACTTTCTTGCTCTCCCCCGTCGCTCCCGCCGATGTGCGAGTTGCGGTTCACCGTTACTTGAAATTCTTCTAGGAATTTTCGAGACGCTTCAATTTCGAGACGCATCAATTTCAGCATCTCGGCGCCATTTGCTATTTCGTCACGCTGTTGTTGCATTATGTTTTGCAACTCATTTTGAGCCTCAATTGTCTGTTCCTTGTTACGTTGAACTTCAAGTTCCTTTGCAGCATCGTCTCGGATATCCACTGGTACCTTATTTAATCTCGCCATCAGCTCAGTTTTGGTACCCTCTGTTGGCAAATTTAGTAATGCCAACCAACTTTTCAATGTCGCTATTGACACGTCATTTATATTTATATTTTCCATTTTGTTGTGTTTTTTTTTTTTTTTTTTTTTCTGAGTCAATCCCACTTCTGATATTGTAATAGTATGATTTTCTTCGTTGATTTAACTTATGTTCGGGTTGCCTTTTTATTTTTAACAACACGTCTTCTTACTGCTAGTACTGTAGAGAGACTGCCTTCCACTTCTTCTCTGCAGCCGCTTTTCTTTATCGATATTTACTTATCGTACTGTTATAATTAACATAGATAGTGACACTATAATACCCTGGCTAGGGTTACCAATGATGCTCTTATCCTATTACAGCAGGAAGTCAATAAAAATAAACACATAAAAGCAACTTGCGGTCTACAGAATTATGTCAACGACTATTGAGGAGGAGGGCACGACAATGGCGGCGGCGGAGACTCTTAATACGCCGTCGACTGTGGCCAATGCTTTTGTTCAGACAGTCCAATCCATAATTAGCAGCACAACATCAAAAGCAACAACAACAAGTACCGCAGCCTTAGCCAGCACCACCACCACTAGCACAGCCGCTCCAGCAACAGGAACAACCACATTATCAACGCCATCATCGTCCAGCATGACGGAGAAGCTCAGCGTGAGCGATTTAAGCAGCGCACTGCAACATTTTGGAATTGTTGATTATTTGGTTTTCATAGCCATGCTGGTGGTCTGTGCCGTAATTGGCTTCTATTTCGGCTTCATCGAAAAGAAGAAGAAAAAGCAAAAGGGCCAAGTGCCCGCCGATGAAAAAGATGGTCCCGGGGCTGCTGGCATCGAGGAGCGGCGCGGCTCGGAAGCATTGGATTACTTGGTGGGTGGACGCAAAATGAAAGTGTTTCCGGTCTCGCTGTCATTGGTGGCTAGGTGAGTTACAGCAATATTAACTGTATGTAAATGCGGGTGCGGTCGACTCCTCTGGGCCAACAGGATAGATAGACGAGGCCTATTTAATTGCTTTGACTGGAGCGTGCAGTGCCTAATGGGATTGCCCACTGCATTGGTTGGGTCAAGCAGTTTTGTAATTCTGTCTTAAATTGAATAGTACACGAATACAGACCATTACTTTTGTGTCTGTCTATGGCACAGATTGCTTTAATATCGTTTCCACAAGCAAGGTACTTTAATTTGTTTGAAGAACAAGTTAAATGAGTGGGCAAGACATTTTCACAAGTGGAGTAAAATTCTTTTGGTGCAAATATGAAAAAAAATATAAAACTAAAAATTAAAAATACACTTTTAAATATATTACCCATATCAGCTTTATAATTATTACTGATAATTAATAATAATTATTGCGTATCTAAGAGGCCACCTTTCACATGATGATCATATGAAACTACCTGAAAAAGAAATCAAATTATTATTACAATAAATAATATATTGCTTATAACTAAATATATACACTATACTATCTCTGTCCATCAATGACACATTCCATAAGAGAAGAGAAGTTAATGAATAACACATTCGATAAGCGACGAATAATGCCGTTAGTAATACACTTGCCGAAATTGAAAATCGTTTGCTATGCATTATATAGATTGGTTTCTGCACATTAAAATGCTTACCCAATCGAAATTCATAATTTTCTCAGAAATCAATCAAAAATATGCGCCTAATTTCACTTGATTTGCCATAAGGTGGCCACGACTAACCGTGCGTATACGTAATCTAAAAAAAAATCACATAAAACTGCCAGCCCCTGCGTCGTCTGTTTGTCTGCAATGTTTGTCTGTGCAAACAAACGAATTTTATTTAAACTTTAAGTAAATGCCCCTAAAAGAATGGGAACTGAGCGAGAATGTATCCATATACATAATACATAATACAATATAGAGTGTCAGGGTCAAGTTTATTATGGCTGATGATTATGCTGATAATGCTCTTTGATATCACTCTGGGAACTTGCAGAACTTTGTTGATAAATAAATATCTGGCGCATGAATACAATTTAGCAGCTCTTTTCACTTTTAGGCAGGGCACCCAAGAACTAAGCCTGATTGAAGTTGTTTAAACTTACGGCAGCCGCAAACTCAAAAAATTTGTAAAATTACTTTTTTGTTTGGTGGCGACCTTGGTGGTGTCACGCTTTTGGAGAATTATATTTGACACGTTTGGTCAAGCACCTTTCGGCGGCACATAGCCTTTGTCCTGGGCGTATTGTCAGCGCATTAATGACTGGAAAAAATAAAAGGAACGAAGGACTGCTTCTGTTTCTCCTGTTCCTTATGTCCACATTTGATCATTTGCCTCGCCAACAATTGTTTTGTACGCCTTTTATTGTTATCGTTCATTTTGTTCTGTAGTCGTTTGCCTTCTGCAACAAATTTTGGCGACGTGCTTTGAATTACAATTACATGCCAGCTTTTTCTCGCTGATTCGTTTGAGCTGTTCCATTATGGTTTATTTTTATTTTGATTTCATCTCTCTTTCAATTCATTATATTGTAGATTTTGTGCCTGCATCTGCATACTTCAACGCCACTTGCTATCAACTTTTAATGGTATTTTGGCTGCAAAAAACTTTTCTGTTAGCACGGCTAAGGCTTGGGGCAGTGCATATGTTTTGGGGCTAAATTGAAATGATGATTGTTGTTGTTGACATTAATCATCAGATTGAAATTATGATTATGAAATATATGGCAAAAAATTTGAAAAGTTGCTCGCATGTCGCTGAGCAGCGAGCAGACGGGCAATATTTTTGGGAACTTCAACGAATCCAATTTTCTTGGCAACAAGATTAAAGGAAAATATTTTATAATTGAGAATTTAGCAGCACAATTTAATACAATACTTTATTAATAATTGTTAGATATATTTAATAATTTTATGTTAAAAATGTTGCTTATATATTTTAAAATAATATTTACTAATAACCTTTATATAGTTTTGTTTCGGGCATTTCATTGCTGGGCACCTCAACGGAGATCTATGTTTATGGTACCCAATATGCCTTTATACTCATTACACTGGCCATATCGGGACTTATATCGTGGTATATCTTTTTGCCTGTTTTCTGCAATCTACAATTAACTTCCACTTATGAGGTGAGTTGAACGTTGTCTGATTTGTGTTTAAACGCAGTCTATTTATTTTTGAACACCCTTGCAGAAAGAGTGTCGGAATTATTAAGTAATTTCCAAACTCGAATTCCATTTAAAATATATTTTTGTTTTGTCTGATTCAATTAAAACTTTAACACTGGTTTTTAAATTCATGTTAAAAAATTGAATTGTAAAAACAAATTCATTTCATATATCATAGTTTTATACAACAAATTATTTACAAAATAAGTTTTGCATGCATTTTTAAGCATTATGTATAAGAAAAATAAGTTTAAATTGCTATCAGCAATCTGCAAGGGTATGACTACTTCGGAATACTGAAGTCATTATTTTATACTATTTTTTGAATACTCTATTAGCATTTTACATAACATTTGTTTCATACTAAGCCGATTAAAGCATTATCGATTGTCAGGGAGTTTTAATTGTGAATTATGTCGCATGTTAATATGTAAGTAAATATACTGTTTCAACTTGCACTACAATTTTAATAGACTAGGTATTTATATAAGAGGCTCGGCAAGTCAGAAAATTAAGCTGATTCAGTATACGTAGCAGATGCTAAAATCAAACCAGAGACTACCAATTTCATTTTTCAAAACAAAGCATAGACCATCCCCAGACAAATATGTGTACTAGTTATTTGTCTGTCATGTAGCAGAATTTCCAGGAAAAGTCCGAGCATTGTTTTATACATTGTTGTTCTTGTGTCATGCGAAATAGATGCGTGCTTCGTGCCAGCAAATTCAAAATAGGAGTACAAAGAGCTGTTTTCATGTACAAAATCCAATTGTTGTATTGGACAGCAGACGCGAACGTAGTGGTGGCTTATAAGCTTCTGCCATATCGACTACATGGCGTATGCGTAATATTCGATTTTGTATGTGCACCATTACCTACATTCACTTGATGTGTGTGCGTGCGCTATTTTATGTGCTTGTATTTGTGTGCGTTTGCATTGTCGAACTAAAAAGCGGCAACAAAAAAAAGAAAACAAAGTCAAAAAATATTTACAGTACTTTGAGCTGCGCTTCAGTAAAACCACTCGTCTCGTTGCCTCGGTGCTATTCACCGTAACCACAGTAAGTTAAAAAAAAATATACCCATCATAAAAAATGATAACCAATTACTATTTAATCTAGTTTATTTGGCTGCCAATAGTCATCTATATGCCAGCGTTGGCCTTTAACCAGGGTAGGTTTCAAATCAGATCGTCCAAAACCTGTGCCATTTCTTGATTTGACCCCCTTGCAGTGACTGGCATAAATGTTCATATCATTACGCCTGCGGTGTGCATTGTTTGCATATTTTACACCACTGTGGGCGGTTTGAAGGCTGTTGTCTGGACGGATGTTATTCAAACCATAATTATGGTTGGCGCCGTAATCTTTGTCGTAATTAAGGGCACCAGCGATGTGGGCGGCCTGGGTGTGGTCATACAGCGTAATCTGGACAGTGGACGCCTCGAGTGGCCCGAGTAGGTGATAGTCAATTAAGTCCAGATTTCAGATAGTACTTTTCTCATGACGCAAAGCTATTGATACGTTGTTATTGAAAACAATTGAGAATCAATAGTTTTGTAGCACTAATACTTGAAATTTATTTTTATTTAATGACTCTTAATATATTCAAATAGATTAACATTCGATCCAAAGGTTCGCATGTCTACATTCGCCTTGTTTGTGGGCTATACAGCACACTCCACATATAATTTAGGTTGTAATCAGATCATAACACAGCGCTATATGTCGCTGCCTAATGTGAAGGCTATGGGGCAAGCGTCGTTACTATTTATTAGCGGTATAGTCCTTTTAACATCACTTACCCTATACAATGGCGTGCTGCTCTATGCCACCTACTACGACTGCGATCCATTGACTACCAAGGTGGGTGATTTGTATATATACTCTGTATGAGTCGCACCTCAGTTAACGGACTGAATTGCAGCTGGCCAAAGCCAAGGATCAGTTGGTGCCATTGCTTGTCATGGATACGCTGAGCTCATTTCCAGGTGTGTGCGGTATGTTTATAGCTGGTGTGTTTAGCGCAGCGCTTAGCTCGTTGTCCACGGCGCTCAATTCCCTGGCCGCCGTCTCTCTCGAGGATTATATCAAGCCGCTTTGCAAGGAGCCCTTATCCGAACGTCAAACGGGCATCACTATGCGCCTCTGCACAGTTATTATTGGCATTGTGAGCGTTGCCTTGGTTTTTGTGGTGGAGCGTATGGGCACACATATGGTTCAGTTGTTCATGATGCTGAGTTCGGTGACACAGGGTCCATCGTTGGCGCTCTTTGTGATGGGTATGCTGTGTCCGCGGCTAAATGCAAAAGTTTGTATTGGATTTGGTTATTGAAATTATTTTTGTATATAATTATATTTTTGTTATTGCTTGCATTACAGAGCGCTCTATCCGGTGCCCTTTGCTCCTTTATCGTCATGACTTGGCTATGTACTAATGCCCAGCTGGCTAGCAATTCTGGTGAGCTGCATCATGAAAGCAAGCCCGTCAGCATCGAAGGCTGCGATTACCAGTACGAATTGCCGGTAATGACGCCCAGAAATGCCACTGTGACTTTCACTGAGCCTGCGTAAGTAGCAGGCATGAGCTTAACCCAATTAGTTATTACTGACAGATATCTTGCTTTCAAAGTTCGCTTAGCTTTTTCCAGCAAATTTATCATATATCCTTTATGAACTACACACTCTTTGCGGCTGTTGTCGGCATTATTTTTGGCCATCTTTCGAGCTTTATATTTGGACGTGTTGCAGTTGAGGATGTGGATGTTGAGCTGCTGGCGCCGTGCATGCGGCGTTTCTATAGACGCAAATATGCCACTGTGGAGACTAATGAGTCCTTAGTAAAGTCTGGCGAATAGAATTCCTACATAATATAACATGTGCTGACGACTTTAGAGTTGTAATAAAAGTTTTGATTAAGTATACGCCGTGTTTGACTGCAGCTTTGCCAAACGCCAGACTAATCTGTCAATATAATTTTTTTTTTGGTTTTCCATTTTTTTTATACCCTGAACCCATTCAAAGTGGGTATATTGTATTTGTGCCAAATCCAAATGTATGTTACAGGCAGAAGGAAGCATCTCCGACCCCATAAAGTATATATATTCTTGATCAGCACCAGCCGTGCCCGTCAGTCTGTCTGTCCGTATGTATGAACGCAAGGAAATTTTAGATGTAGGTGCTCCTAGTGCCCGCGCAGATCGAGTTTGTTTCCGATAATCGATAACTTACTACGTTTCCAAGCAATCGATAAGAATCAATATCGATATTCTGTTTTTTTTTGGCAATTTTGGTAAATAACAAGAGCTAGAGTCACCAAACTTGACATATAGCTTCTAAAATAGAATATATATATGCATTTGATGTTAGAAGAGAAGGGTTCAGGGTATTTCCTAGTCAGGAGCTCACGACTAGAACATCTTACTTGTTTGTATTTTGTGTTGTCACTAGCATACACATAGTTGCATAAATATATACATTGTAAATAATTGGAAATACATTATTTATTAACAAGTATTTATAATTCCTCTAACTTAATTATAATATAATTTTACCTAGTACTTTGAGCTGCGCTATGGTGGCAGCATTCGAAACTTCGGCTCTATGCCGTTTATTGTGGGCATGGCAAGTATTTAAATAATTCAGATTTTACTATAGGCGCTACAACATAATTAAAATGTTATATACAGATGCTTTGGCTACCTGTGGCCCTCTACATGCCTGCCATCACCTATAATCAAGGTGAGTTTCGCCTTAGTTTCTGGCTATGAAGCTATAGTTAAATGATTACAGTGACTGGCACGAGCATCCATGTTATTACGCCCATTGTCTGCATAATCTGCACCTTCTACACGTGTGTGGTAAGCTTTAATTAAATTATGACCTGTTTAGGTAATAGCTCACATGAAAATTTTCGGTATTTCAGGGCGGATTAAAGGCAGTCATTTGGACAGATGTCATCCAGAGTTTCGTTATGTATGGCTCAATTTTGGCAGTGTGCATAAAGGGTACCTACGATGTGGGCGGCCTGAACGTGGTGTTGCAGCGGAATTGGGAGAGCGGACGTCTCAATGCACCGGAGTAAGTGTTTCGTTTAAATTTATTTGGCAAATCCTATATGACTCCAACTATTTACAGATGGACCTGGGATCCCACCGTTCGCCTTTCAATGCTGTCTGTTATTGTGGGCGGCACTTTGCACAAAATACAATCATCCGATGTCAACCAAGTGTCAATACAACGGTTTTTATCGCTGCCTAGCTATAAACATGCCAAGCAATCCATGCTTCTATTTACCATACTCCTCATATTCCTATTGAGCTGCTGCAGCTATATGGGCCTGGTGACTTATGCTGTTTACCACGACTGTGATCCCATCAGCACCAAGGTGATCTGAAATCCATCAACTTTTTACTTTCTCTTATACGCTTTATTCAGCTTGCCAAGGCCAGCGATCAGTTGCCTTCATTGCTTATGATGCGCACCTTGGGCTCGTGGCCTGGTCTGCCAGGACTCTTTGTAGCTGGCGTGTTTAGCGCCGCTTTGAGCTCGCTTTCCACAGGACTTAACTCAATGGCATGCGTGATCTCACAGGATATGGTACGTCCGTTGCTTAAGAAGCCCCTAACGGAACGCCAAACCGCATTTCTGCTGGGCGCCATTGTCGTCTTCTTTGGCGCCTGTTGCATGGGCCTGGTCAATGTTGTGGAGAAGTTGGGCATGGTTGTGCAGTTGGCTACCACCACTTCGGCTGTATCTATGGGACCGCTGCTAGGAATTTATGCGATGGGCGTGTGCCTGCCCTGGGTGAATGCTAAAGTTAGCTTCTCTCAATCTGCGCGCTTCAAGACTCGCCTAATGGATTACATTTTTTAGAGTGTTTTAACGGGCAGCTTGGTATCCTTTGTTGTCTTGGCTTGGATCTGCGTGAAGGCACAGCTATCGCTAATGAACGGCGAGATTCGGTACCCAAAGATGCCTGTCTCAGTGTCAGGCTGTGAATATTCTTATGATAACGATACTGTCTGGCGCACCCTGCATGAGTACAGGTGAGCATAATATGCTAAAAACAATGGGACACAAAAATATTTGTTTTTCTATTTTTATTTGCAGTCCATCTACAGATCGTAATATATATCATTTGTCATTTTTCTGGTACACAGCCGCAGGCGGCTTTATTTGTACCGTGGTTGCCCTTCTGGCCAGCTTAGTGTTTGGTTGGCAGGATGTATCTCAAATGGATCCAGCTTTAATAACGCCCTGCATGCGTCGTTTTTTGCCTAAAAAACATTATCAGGTTATAGACTTGGAAGAGATGTTTAGGCGCAAGGCTCAAGCTGATGTCGAGTCAGAGACAGCATGTCTTGACAAAGAAATCAATTAAGAAAACTTAAATATTCAAAAATAAATTCTTGTTTTGTTTTTCCTTAGATGTTTTTTATTTTGTAATTGTCCGGCGTTTAATAAGTATTTTACACATTTCATTAGATTCTTCATGATATGACGTTACTTTTTTAATCTCATAAATTTTTTCTTTGCCGTGTTTACAACCCAGTACTTTGAGAGACGCTTTGATCGACGCATTCGCATCTTTGGATCATGTCTATTTGTGCTTATGAACGTGAGTATTTAAATTGTCTCTTAATTTTTATATTAAGTGTCAATATACATAATTGGCTCCTGTATAGATACTTTGGCAACCCATTTGCATTTATGTGCCTGCACTAACATTGAATCAAGGTGAGTTTTGAAAACCTAAAACTGAATAATGTAAATAAATATAAAATGTCTATCTTCTTTACCTAACTTATTTACCTAATATAGTGAAAATCCAGCCCTATCTTGAAATTGACTAACTTTCTTGTGGTTATTTTTAGTTTCCGGCATCAGTGTTCACACGATCGTTCCACTGACCAGTCTCATATGCATCATTTATACCAGCATTGTAAGTAGAACGATTGCTTGCAGTTATTTCAGAGACTTCATTCAATCTGATGCTTTATTACTTTCATATAGGGTGGCATTAAGGGCGTTGTTTGGACAGATGTTATACAAGGAGCTGTCATGGTTGGAGCCATGGGATTTGTCATTATAAAAGGCACCTACGATTTGGGTGGTTTGGCTGTTGTTCTAGAACGTAATCGTCAATTTGACCGTTTGGTGGGCCCCGAGTAAGTTATTTATACATATTTATATATTCATTTTATGTTTACACTCTAAAACCTATGAAAATGACAGGAAGCGAAGCATTTCCAACCCCATAAAGTATAAATGATCTTGGTTAGCATTAATAATAGTCAATTCGGTTTGGCCATGTCCGTCTGCCTGTCCGTCCGTCCGTCCACATGTACGGATGCTTCTAGCCGAAAACCTTTAGGAGTTAAATTTGGGTTTTTTTTAACCTATTTTTTGGGCTTTTAAGAGCATTATATACAAATTTTTAAACTTTGAATCTTTTCGCATTTTCGGTAATATAGTTTCCGCCTTAAATACTTAAATATTTTTGAATGGCTTAAAAATTTCAAAAAGATAATAATAACCACCGAGGCTAGGCTGATGCCATGCGGCGGAAATGTTTGTAGCTGCAACTCGATCCTGGGTTCAGTGTATTTCCTAGTAGAACATCTCGGGCTATATAAGTCTAACTAGTTAAATATCGCGGTGTATCCATTAATGCTTGTCTTTAAATTTACAGCATGACATTTGATCCGACGGCTCGGATGGGCGTTTTTGCCTTGTTTGTTGGTGGCGCCTTCTTTAAGCTGCAGGCCAATTGCATAAATCAGACCGCAGTCCAGCGTTTTCTGACCTTGCCCAACTTTAAGGCGGTCAAGCAGGCACTTCTGCTTTCCCTCACAGGCTTTATACTCGTCATGGCCATGTGTATTTATATTGGAATGCTCGCCTTTGCCGCATATTATCATTGTGATCCCATAACTACGGGCGTGAGTAGCACAATTGCTACTGCATGAAGAAAGATATCTTACTTTTATTTTTCCTTTATTTCCTTCGCAGCTGGCACGCGCCAAGGATCAGGTGATACCGTTGTATGTTATGCAAAGTGCTGGCGTGGTGCCCGGAATAGTGGGTCTATTTGTCGCAGGGGTGTTTAGCGCTGCACTCAGCTCTCTTTCCACCGCACTCAACTCCCTCTCAGCGGTGGTGCTCAAGGACTTTGTCGAGCCATATCGCAGTCGCCCATTGACTGAGCGGCAGACTGCCTATGTACTTAGAGGCGTGGTTGTTGTCTTTGGGCTCATTTCAATGGCAAGTGTCCCAATAGTGCAGAAATTGGGCATGCTCATGCAGCTCTCCTCCACCGTGGGTGCAATCACCTGTGGTCCATTGCTTGGCGCATTCTCAGTTGGCATGCTGTTGCCATTTGTTCGAACAGAGGTTTGATTGGGGTCTTCCTATTGTTTTACTTAAGGAATTACGGCTTTTTTCTTTTCCTTTTTCAGAGTTTGTTGACTGGCATTTCAGTGGCCACCACTTTCATATCCTACATTGTTGTTCGTGCTCAGATTGCAATGGCTACTGGCCAAATGACCTTTCCCATGAAACCCGTTTCCGTGGAGGATTGTGACTACAGCTTCGAGGTGCATGATAACTGGAATACCCCCAGCAGCGCGTATGTTGTTGCTCCGAACTCTGGCGCTGAAGAAGACCTATCAATCTAATAATCAAATGCATTTAATATTTAATATCTATTTTCTTTATATAGGAATACTTACGAGGACAAAAGTCACAGCCTACATGAGATCTCGTTTTTGTGGTACACTTTGATTGGTTCTTTAGGAACGGTTCTCTGTTCGCTGTTGGCTACGCTTTACTTTGGAAAGCAGGATGTGCGCCTTGTGGATAAGGAGCTGGTTTCGCCAGTCCTGCACAGGTATTGGTATGGGAAGTTTGACAGCGTTGCCAGCGATGATGAAGAGAAGAAGCAACTGAAGCTGCACGAATCGTTAACTCAACCGAAATTGGATGAGATAGAGCAAATACACAACCATCTTCAAACTTCTTAGGGGTTATAAGCCCTTATTTATAATCATCTGTAATACAATAAATATAATGAATACAACAACACCTTTTGTAGTTTTATGCTAGTCCTAAGACTTCTACTGTCCCATATTTAATCCTTACTACGTTAGCCTAACAACTGACAGCTGGTTCCGTTTAATGCATAGATAATTTCCATTATCAGGAGTAGCTGGTAAGAAGTAAGGCTCAAGATGAGGTCAAGTCTGAGGTCTAATCAACTAATCACAAATTAATTCTTGTTTTGTTTTTCCAGGGAGAATTTTCATTCTGTAATTGTCCGGCATTTAACATGATATTTCATTACATATTCATGACACTCCGTTACTTTTTAAATGTTATATATTTTTTTCTTTGCCGTGTTTACAATTCAGTACTTTGAGAGACGCTTTGATCGACGCATTCGCATCTTTGGATCATGCCTATTTGTGCTTATGAACGTGAGTATTTAAATTGTCACTTTATTTTTATATTAGTTGTCAATATACATAATTGGCTCCTGTATAGATACTTTGGCAACCTATTTGCATTTATGTGCCTGCACTAACATTGAATCAAGGTGAGTATGTAATATGTATAATAATACCATGGATATAAAATGTCTATATTCTTTACCCAACTTATTTACCTAATATAGTGAAAATCCAGCCCTATCTTGAAATTGACTAACTTTCTTGTGGTTATTTTTAGTTTCCGGCATCAGTGTTCACACGATCGTTCCACTGACCAGTCTCATATGCATCATTTATACCAGCATTGTAAGTAGAACGATTGCTTGCAGTTATTTCAGAGACTTCATTCAATCTGATGCTTTATTACTTTCATATAGGGTGGCATTAAGGGCGTTGTTTGGACAGATGTTATACAAGGAGCTGTGATGGTCGGCGCCTTAGGTTTTGTCATTATAAAAGGCACCCACGATTTGGGTGGTTTGGCTGTTGTTCTAGAGCGTAATCGTCAATTTGATCGTTTGGTGGCACCCGAGTAAGTACATTTTAGCCACCTTAGAATCTCTCTTTTAAGCTTGTCTTTAAATTCCAGCATGACATTTGATCCAACGGTTCGCATGAGCGTTTTTGCCTTGTTTGTTGGTGGCACCTTCTTTAAGCTGCAGGCCAATAGCATAAATCAGGCCGCAGTTCAGCGTTTTCTGACCTTGCCCAACTTGAAGGCAGTCAAGCAGGCACTTTTGATATCCCTCATAGGCTTTTTACTCGTCATGGCCATGTGTATTTATATTGGAATGCTCGCCTTTGCCGCATATTATCATTGTGATCCTATAACAACGGGCGTGAGTAGGACAATTGCTGTCGCAAGATAAAATGTGTATTACTTTTATTACCTTCGCAGCTGGCACGCGCCAAGGATCAGGTGATACCGTTGTATGTTATGCAAAGTGCTGGCGTGGTGCCCGGAATCGTTGGTCTGTTTGTAGCAGGTGTGTTTAGTGCTGCACTTAGCTCACTATCCACGGAACTCAATTGTCTCTCAGCGGTAGTGCTCAAGGACTTTGTCGAACCGTATCGCAGTCGCCCATTGACCGAGCGGCAGACTGCTTATGTTCTCAGAGGCGTCGTTGTAGTCTTTGGGCTCATTTCAATGGCAAGTGTCTCAGTAGTGCAGAAATTGGGCATGCTCATGCAGCTCTCCTCCACCGTGGGTGCAGTCACCTGTGGTCCATTGCTTGGCGCATTCTCAGTTGGCATGCTGTTGCCATTTGTACGAACAGAGGTTTGATTTGGGTGAATGACCTAAGCCACTACGCATAAGCATCTTTCCTATTGCAGAGCTTGCTAACCGGCATTTCGGTAGCGACCACCTTTACATGCTACATTGTTGTGCGTGCCCAGATTGCCATAGCCACCGGCCAAATGAACTTTCATATGAAACCTGTTTCCGTGGAGGATTGTGACTACAGCTTCGAGGTGAACGCCAACTGGAATACCCCCAGCAGCGCGTATGTTATTGCCCCGCGTTATACCGCCTAAGAAGACCTTCTTTTAATAAGTGACTTCTTTATATAGGAATACTTACGAGGATAAGGGTCACAGCTTACATGAAATCTCGTTTTTGTGGTACACTTTGATTGGTTCTTTAGGAACGGTTCTCTGTTCGCTGTTGGCTACGCTTTACTTTGGAAAGCAGGATGTGCGCCTTGTGGATAAGGAGCTGGTTTCGCCAGTCCTACACAAATATTGGTATGGGGAGTATAAGAGCGTTGTCAGCGATGATGAAGGGAGGAAGCATTTGAAGCTGCACGAATCGTTAACGCAGCCGAAACTGGATGAGATGGAGCAAATTCTCAACCGTTATCAAGCTTCTTAAGGAATTTCTAACCTTGTTGATCAATAAACATCATTATTACAAACTCAGTCCTTGTAGTTTTATATTAGCCTTAAGACTTGTCTCGTTTCATATTTTAATCCTGATACTGTTAACCTAAAAACTTACAGCTGGTTCCGTTAAATGCCCAGAGTATTTTCACGGGGTTGTCAATGCACAAATTTTTCACTTGGTTGTCAATACAAAAATACTTACACACACTCACTCTTTCAGTACTTTGAGAGACGTTTCAGCCGACGCATGCGTATATTCGGGGCCTCACTCTTTGTGCTCAAGGCGGTAAGTGAAAACCTCTTACAAATGTCTAGCTAAGGATTACGATGGGACTTTTCCCTTTTCAGATCATTTGGCTGCCCATTGCGGTGTACGTGCCCGCGCTAACCTTCAATCAAGTTAGTGGAATTGGAGTGCATACCATAACACCAATTGTGATTGTCATTTGCACCTTCTATACCACTGTCGGAGGCATTAAAGGCGTCGTTTGGACGGATGTGGTCCAAAGTGTTATTATGTATGGCTCACTGGTGATTATTATGATCAAGGGAACCCTGGATCTCGGTGGGTTTGGTGTAGTCTGGCAGCGTAATTTGGAGGGCGGACGGCTCAATTTGCCTGAGTGAGTAGTCTTAAAATGGGGTTAAAGTGTAAAGACGATTGCAAACTGTGCATATTTATTCCGAAGCTGGAGTCTGGACCCAACAGTGCGTATGAGCGTCTTTTCGGTGTTTGTTGGCGGTACTTTCTTCAAGCTGCAGAACACCTCGATCAATCAGGCCACCATTCAGCGTTTTATGAGCTTACCCTCCTTAAAGCAAATCAAGCAAACGCTCTTCACCTTTAGCATTGGGTTGATTCTTCTCTATATGAGCTGTGTCTATGTGGGTCTGGTGTGCTACGCCACGTATTATGACTGCGATCCAATGACCACGGGTGTGAGTGCGATATCTTCTGGAATGCTAAAAATTTTGTTTGCTATTTTTCATCTTTTTGTACAGCTGGCTGGACGTCGGGATCAGCTGGTGCCGCTGATGGTTATGCGCGTGCTGAGTGTTGTGCCTGGACTGCCGGGTATGTTCGTCTCCGCCGTATTTAGCGCTGCTCTAAGCTCGCTCTCAACGCTGCTCAACTCATTGGCGGCCGTCATACTGGAGGACTTTGTCAAGCCACGTATGCGCAATAAGCCTATGACGGAGCGCACAGTAGCATTGATAATGCGTCTGGTTGTGATTGTATTTGGCATTAGTTCTATATTTATGGTCTATGTGGTTGAGCATCTGGGCATGGTGCTGCAGCTGTCGGCCACACTACAGTCCAGCTTATACGGTCCCATGCTAGGCATATTTACCGTGGGCATGTTAATGCCCTGGGTGGGCGAGAAGGTGGTTCCTCCTTCATTAACAAGCCTCGATTTATATAAACTAAAGTTTTTTATATTTTTTTAGAGCATGTTTTTAAGCAGCGTTCTATCATTTGCTATAATGGCTTGGATTACGGTCAATGCACAAATTGCAAATGTGAGCGGCTCATTTCGTCATACCAAGCTGCCAGTTTCTGTGGAGCATTGTGACTACGAGTTTGATATGAATCGCTATCTTAACTCAACAGCGGAATAGTAGGTAGCGAACAAAAATATTATTTCTTAATAGTCTTATTTTTTTATTTTACAGTGAGCCACACAGCGGCTCATCTATATACCATATGTCTTTCCTATTGTACACCTTGACTGGCGCTTCCTTAAATATTGTTCTTTCAAACTTGGCGACGTTTATCTTTGGGCGTCAGGATATGAATTCTGTGGACACGCAGCTCCTAGCTCCGTTTGTTCAACGGCTTATACTCAAAAATAGTTATTATGAGACCGTAGAGCTGAAGAAAAGATCAGTAATCGGTGAGCGCTTGGATTAGAGCTCAGATAGTTTCAATTTGTTGACCTAAGTTAGTTTCACATTCTTAATTCTTTATTGCCGTATTCAGAAGTTAATTATATTTAAAGTTTGTACCTTTTCTCTTCCAAGACGTTTTGCCTCAGCTTCTGAGATTTTGAAATTTGTGAGCCAGGAACCTACTTTTATAACTCACTTTTGTGAATAGTTAATAATAATCAATGCATTAATGTAATAATGCCACCCTTTGTTGTTCATGTTATTCCACATACTATATATTTTATTTTTTAGCAAATTTTCATTGAAATTCTTGAGAATTTTGAATAATTCAGTTTAATAATGTAAAATCTTGTACGACAATAAATTTGTGTAATATGTATAATTTAGAGGGAATTAAAAACAATTTAGGCATAATGTCAACCAGCTATAGATGCCAATTGTGCGCATGGAAACATCAAATTCAATAAAATCTTCTCCAGTTCTATGGAACACAATTGGCAGCTACAGTACGTTGGGGGCATGCATAAATCTGAGTTTAACATTGGCTTATCTGTGGGATCTTATATCATCCAAACTTTGCAACGTCTTGCTTAAGCTACGTAACTTTCGTCTTGGACTAACCGGTTGTCCCTGTGTTGTCATGGGTGAGGGAAAAAGACAACGGCATTTCCGATTAGAACCCACTGCTCCCGACTGTGTCGCTTGGCTGCCAAGCCGCCCAGTGCCCAACTGAGTCCACGGAGTGGGCGTAGGTGAACGCTGGGTGTGGTGGCCACTGCACTTGTTATTGGGACTTCTTGAAGTTGGGAACAAAGAGGAGCGATGCAAATCAGGCATGCTTACAGTAGAGATTCCCTTGGCCGTACGACGTACGATTGTTGGCTTGGCGGTTGCCGAATTTGCAGTTCTCGACTTGTGGTGATTGCAACTCTTGCAGGGTGACTGCTGGGGAAAACTGCGGGAATCTTGCTGCTGCCAGAGCTGATGCTGCGGTCTTTGTTGCGACGTACCCTCCGATACTTTTTGCGGCTGAGAGTCTGGTCTCCTATTGTAGGTTTCCATTAAGCGCTGTGCACGATCCGAGCTGGCACTACTTTTTTCTTCAAACCGGTCTTCCCGTTCCTCCCGCTCCTCTTTGCAATGCTGTTTTGACCTCCGCTGGTGGCTCAGTGCCCGATAAAAAATCGTCTGATTGTCGATTAGCATCTGGGCAACGAACTTAAACTGATTGAGACTTGTCTCATTTTGTTCGCCAATTTCTGAGGTTCAGTTTTCGAATAGAAATCTTTACATATAGATCAATTTATTTCACTTACTGCCCATCAAATCAGCATTGAGTTGCTTCAAGACCGACTCCTGATGCGTGATGTCCGCGGATAGCTGATCCATCCTGGTAAGGATCTCCTCAAAGTGTTTATTTACCATGTGCTCGACGGCGCCATGCACTGCCTCCAAGACATTCTCGTAGATTATGTTGAAAAAGTCCGTGCAGGACTCTTGCATTCCACGATTGGAATCAGAGGCACTGGATGGCATGTCACTGGATGGAGGGGGTCCCTGTTGCTGTTGTAGTTTTTGCTGCTTCTGATGGTATTCCCGTTCAGCTGACTCCATGCCCGCACTTTCCCTTAATGGCATAGTCGCCTCCCTGTATCGGTGCTTCTCAATCGGAGGCAGGCGAAATTCTACAGTGCGTGCGGGCGTTCGTGGCCGAGATTTCAGGCCGTGAGAATGACGCAGTCTCTCATTGTGCTCCTGGAGAGCCTGCAGCGAAATAAGATCATCACAGCACAGTTTTGTGCCTTGCCGCGACGACCGTGACCGGGAGCGTGAATGGGACTGGTGCTCAGGACGGTTAGATTGTTGGGAGCTGCTGTTATAGCTGCTTTTTGGCATGTACAATAAATCATAGCCGAAATCATTGGGAGGCTTTCGAAAGCAATAGTTGGGAAACATAGTTTTCGAGATGAAAGTTCAAGCTGCATAAAAATTTAAGAGACAGGTTCTAAAAATAAGGTGCTGTACTTTGATTTTGAGTGTGACACAAGCGTCTTATGTGGGTGTATTTGGGCTCAATTGTACTACTTTTACAATTTCGAATTTATTTTTGAGTCTGCTTATGAGAATTCGATGATTTTGAAGGAAAATCCAAAATTTGTCATTGAAAGGGTATTTATTAGAGGTGTTCAATTGATAAGAAATTGCCCTAAGCATAACGAGCTGTTGACAGCACAAAGCTGGCAAATGTACTAGAAAGTAGCCTCTTGTCAACTTTAGAGAAAAATAGGAAGGGGCCGTTTTTGGCGTTCTGGCTGGATGCGCTTTATTTGAAGAACGACGGCGTGTCTTATCAATTCTGCTGAATATCCCGATTTCATTTAGATACTTATTTTTAAAAGCTATTATTTTTGCAATTTCTTTCGAAGAAACCCTCATCCCATTAACCTTTTCAAAATCCCAAGCGTTTTGAGACGCTTTGCAAAAGTGTGAGTATTCTAACTGAAATTAACGTAAAACCTTTAAGGCAAAAGATTCAGCTAGTAGGAATATGTTTTTATATCCTTGCAGAAGGTATTATAGTTCTCCCATGAAATGTGTAACGCATAGAAGGAGACATATCTGACGCCATAAAGTATATATATTCTTGATCAGTGTCAACAGCCGATATAGCCATGTCCGTCTGTCTACCTGTCTGTTTCTATGCGAACTAGTCTCTCAGTTTTAAAGCTACCCTCTTTCTGTTGCACGCAGCACATATATCAAAACCAGATATGATATATACAAGGCATTGTAGGGTAAGTGCTAACTTTTGTAGTTTCCCAACACAAAAAGTTACTTTCCTTTTTAATTTACAGCCAAACTGAGTCAACCCTTAAGTTTTTAATATATTCTGCCACAAATAAATGTATTAGCTGCCTGTGAGTACCGACGAGTGAATGTGTAAAAAATATAATAGTTTCTAGTGGTACTCAACAAGGTACTCTGCATATGTGCACGAGGGGACTTCCATTTTGCAATTGTAGAAACGAGATTTAATTATTATCTCTAACAAAAACGTATTTTTCCTTTTTGTTAATGACTTTAATTTATTCAGTTTGCCAACACTTAAAGTTTCTTTTTGAGTCTCAAATAGTCTATATATATTAGAAATAAAGTTTGCGTTTCTGTTTTTTGTTATCGTGCCAGTTTACTGTCCTTCTAATGGAATTTCAATTAAAAGTTGACAAGTAAATTATGAAAGTATAATTGCAAATATTTACGGCCAGTCGCACTTGGTGATTTCTAATGAAGCGTATTGAAGTAAAAATGAATATAAAAAATTCAAGCGACTTTGTGGCTGATTATGTTATCAACATTTATTAATAGTTTCCATGAGCTTAGCTGTTCAGTCAGGCAGGAAGTAAGAGTTTCGTCCGCATTGAATCAGTCCTTTATAGCGGTTGCATAGTTTGCGGCTATAATAAACCGGAAGTAAAATAATCTTTTTGCTATTTACAAAACAAAAAAACAATATTGAAATATGATTTCACGTTTCATGCAGTAATTTTGTTGTGTTGATTTTTTGGCCATTGATGTTAAGAGCCGCAAACAATACAAAAATTATAAATGAAGTGAGATTGAAAATGAGCTGTCAGGGCTTGTCCTCTGCTCAGCTCAGACAGATTCGGCATTGGTCCTTGCTGTTTCGTCCTTGGGCCCATTGTGCGCTGTAGCATAGAGACCTAAGAATGAAATTTGTGGTGCATGCCAAAATGAATTAAAATATGAGCCACAGATTTCTCTTTTTTTTATGTTGGCCTTTATTCCTTGCGCTCTCTCACACTTGATACATATAATTATGAAATAAATATTAGCTTAGACCAATTTGACTAAAACATTACGCTCTATTAATTCTTATGTTTTTGTTAATTGTATGTAGATTTTGGTTTTAGATGCTTGGACAAGTTCTGCACACTTAGATTCTACCAAATATGTAAGTATTTACAGCAGAAGAATGGTATATATGTAATTGGCACAATACAGATACGATTATATAGGGAGTATATATATATATATATATATATATATATATATTCATATTGTAAATACTTAATGCTAACATGTTGGGCATAAAAGAAATGCAATTATTTGAATTTCGTGTAAATAAATAACATCAGTCTGGTAAATAGAATACGAGTAGGAGTGTTTCTAAAATAACATCACTTGGTATTAGGCTAAAATGCAAAAGTATTTAAGACAAATAAGGAAATAAATCGATGCCCAATGCATGTTAAGTTCTCATTTAGTTGAATAAGTTTTGTTTTATAGTAGTTACAAGCTAATTGCATAAATACTTAGAATAAATTGCAATGGGAAATACATGCATTGAAATTCGTAGCACACCTAAGTACACGCACATTATGCATATATGTGTATGTATATATATTCGATTTGGGCATTCGCTATGCACACACAACTATCGCACTTATTGTCTAAGCCTCCTATAGCCTACAGTGGGCGCTGGCAATTTACTTATAGAAACTCCGCATCGCTGAAGGACGTCGGCCCGTGGACCGCAAACGTTGAACGCTTGCGGGTTGAATGCGCCAGCTATCATACCTCTGACATAGCCGGCACGGTGATTACCTTGTTGGGCCGTTCGCAGATGACGACCCGGGCGTTCGTCTTATTGGTGGAGCGTCTTGAAACCGTCAGAGAGGTGGTTAGAGTGCGCATGGAATCACAGCTATTGTGCAGACGACGACCCACTGTGTGGCAGCGGTTCTGCTGCGAGTTGTTCCGATAGGATTTGCAGCAGCAGGTCAACCACTTGAAGGGCGGGAAACGACTAAAGTAGGGGCATGGTTAGTGGTAGGTTGATGATCTGGAATCCATTGCCTACCTGAGCGTGCGAAATACTTGTGAGGAGAACAAGCAGTATATTAGAGGATTCGCTGCCGAGTTGAGTGGTGCCAGGCTCTGTATAAATGTGGCTATGGCAATATTTGTCTGTGAGTGCGGTATCTGGCCAAAGACTTGTAGCAGATCAAATATAATGTATGGCGACCAGCATAGAATAAACACAAATACAATCGTCAGCGTCATCTTCACGGTCTTGACCTTGGCGCGTGGTATGATGCCTCTTGAGCTGGCGCGTCTTGTTGCAGCACCACCGAATCCTACACGTTCTAGGCAAAGTAATACATGAGGAAGAGCTGCTATTGGGTAGATTATATAGGCATAGTCCTACCTGTAGGCACAAATATGGAGCCCTTAGCCCATATGGTCTTCACAATAATAGCATAGCAGGCGGATATTATCAATGCGGGGACCGCAAACAATGCGGCCGAGACGAGACACATATAAATCTGCCAGGCCATTGGCGAGCCCAGTTCAATCCAGCACTGCGGATGGCCCTGTATGAGTTTCTCCTCGTACAGTACCAGTATGGGCAGCGAAAAGAGAGCGGAGAGCAGCCAAGCGCCAGCCACCAAATGACGAGCGCGTTTCCCTGTATGGAGACAAACACACACACAAACATTTAGCTTGTTACGTAAAGTGCCAAACATTTTCCAATTAAAAAAGTTTACGAGCGTGGACTTACACGACTTTGAGAAGTTCATTGGGTGCGTTATTGCATCGTATCTGTCAATGCTCATGGCCACCAGCACATATGTGGAGGAGTATGTGACGCACACCTGGGAGAAGCGTATGACCTTACAGGCCACGTTTCCGGCCCGCCATGAGATTGTGATGCGCCAAATGATGTCCGTCAGCACATTGAGCAGTCCCACACACAGATCTATCAAAAGTAAACATATATACGCACTGTTGACCCCGTATGCCGCTAAACTCCTCACTTACCTGCCAGCGCTAGCTGCCTAATGAAATAGTTCATGCGCGACTTCCGATTCTTGTTGATGAACATAACAAATAGAACCGCCGAATTGCCCAGAACAATGATGGTAAAAAGTATCCAGAGTACAGCAAATTGTTCCGTCTGTTGGTGCGAGATAAAAGAAGAAGTGAGAAAATAAATGTTAGAAATATATCATTTTTAGTTTTAAAACATTTCACTAACCGACCATAAAGTACATTGTCAACAAAGTGTTAAGTGGGGAAATCACGCATAAAACTCAATTTAATATCATAGCGATTCCACACATACAGACACACCACACACACACACAACCTCACAGACGTACAGACTAACATAAAACCACACACGCGCCATTGTTTATGGCTCTTTAAATAGCCATAAAAATGATAGACACTAACTGAGGCGTGGCGCAGCAGTGTGATGCGAGCCGAGGCCGAGTCAGGGCCAACGTAGGCGTCTGGGCCTCAGCGGCAGGATGTGCCAGCGGAAGTTTACTCTCTGAGCCAACAAGACACGTCAACAACAACAACCAAGAGCAATCCACATTGCCCGTGGTAACGATAGAAGGCAAACATCAAAAGTTGTTGCTATCAATTGGTTGTGTATGGTGCTGCGCTCCAGTGTACGTTTTCGATGAGGTAATTAGGTTTGCTGTGTGCTTCTAGCTAAAAATTTGCAGCCGAAGCCAAGTGCCAGATGTGCCTGACTTAAGCCCAGAAATTCGGCAATCCAATCCAACTTGATCTAATAAAAGAGGACTTTGTTATGATACAGGGTTGCCAGATAAGAAAGTAAACATCATTTTTCTTTTAGTTCGCATGCAAGTTAGCAATTAAAAATCAAAAATTAAAATCCCTTCAAAGCTTTAAGTTCGGTCTTAACCTAAGTTAAAATGCGTGTGAAATATATAATGAAACTCTTGTGGGTTCTCTCATGTTTATGTTGAATTTATCTTGCAATTCTTACCAGGTACTTGGTAAATATGTAAGTTAAAATTAGACTTTCAACCAAAAAATACTGCATGCAATTTACATGTGATTAAATGTTGTTTAAATAAAAATAAATAAATAAATAAATAAATAAAATATTGGTTAACATTAAATGTTAAGAGTAAGCTATTGATGAATAATTGATTCTCTTACGTAGTTCTTGTCCTTCTAGCCTCTTAGTACCCATGTAACGCTGCACAAAATGTCTATAGCAGATAACCCTATATCAAGGTAGTTAATTTGTATTTTGGCTTCAGGCTGGGTTCAGCAGCACGCACTAAATGAGAACTTGCCACCAGCAACTTGACAGTCTTGACAGTTGATTTTTACAGCCTGCCAGCAGACTGAAGGCGCCTGAGCCTGTGCCATAAGTTTTTGCTGCAAATGTTATTGTTCCTTGACTTTTTTTTGTGCGGCCGCCGAGAAAATATATATATATTTGGGCAACTGTTTGCCTCACCGAGATTCTAAGTCGCCTTTTGCCTGGCTGGCAGTTGATCATGTTGCGCAAATTGCCAAATAAATCAGCCAAAACGCGAAATGAGCAGACACGGCCAGACAGCTCTGCTATTTTAGCTCATTTTTCTCTTTACATTTACGATATTTATAAAAGTATATGGATATGCTGCCTGTTTTTTCTTTCATAAGTTGACCGCTTTGTGTTTATTTTTAAATGTGGCCAACGTGTTTTTAAGGCAAGCTTTAAATTTTTTCTTACACTTTTGGGCTTTTGGCTATCAAGCCACGGAAGCAAGTGCTCTAACCAAGTGGTTTGAGTATCCTTCCGTTTTCTTTTGAGTTAAGCATCAATGACTGGACCATTTTTTAAAGCCTTTGGCTTTGTATCACGAAGTATTTGCGCATTTTGCTGCAAGTTTTCTTGGATGACTTTGACAATTTCTATACTTAAGCCGCGTCACAAAATAAAAAGAAAACTCAGGAAAAAATTTGTTTGGAACTTTGGCCGTTTGACGTTCATTCAGCGCTTGTGCTTTTTATTTTTTGGCTTTTTTTTCCACATTTTGTTCACTTTTTTTTTGTGCTGACGATTTTTGGCGAAATATTTTTAAAGTGTTAAGAGCTTCGGGATTTTGCGGCGAGTTTGTAAATATAAACATGTATATATATTGTAAATATATACGTGTTCTAGAAATTTATTTATTCCTAATTTCGCTAGGTAGAAAAGTAAAAACTTTCCATATGTAACACCAGTTCGGAGTATCTTTTATAAATAAAGAAAATAATTGTTCATAAAGTAGATAAACGGTCTGCATAAATCATTGTGTTTTGCATTTAATAGTCAATAGGTAATCAACATAGACTTTTTCAAAATATGATTTCCTTTGAAATCGTTGAATGTTGAAATGGTTTTCCGGAACTTATTTGTAAAATTATATTTAAGTAATATTTCACTCAAGCTTTTTTTTGTGTGCCATAAAAAATGTAATAAACGGCACGTTGTAAGCCTTTTTTAATGATCAGCCTTTTCTGGTTGTGTGTGTTTGTGTGTGTATTGCCCTTTTTATTTATTTTTATTTTTTATTTTTTGCATTTGCTTTTTGTGGCAGCAAGTCATTATGCCTTTTTCAATTTCCCTTTGCACCTTAAGGAAATTGCCCTTTTGTTGGCAGCAATAAAAGTGCGAAATTTAATTTAGAGCCAAAGGAGTTTAGGAAGTAGCCCAAAGGCGAACTGCTTAACAGGCGGCTGATAAGACCACACCAACGTCCGCTTGGGCAACCGTAAGTCCTTATTAAAAGGCAATTTTGCCAAAAGGGTAATGGAGCAAGTTGCAAGCTGCAATGCTAAGAAAAGGTGCCACCTGTTGCACAACTTTGTCTGGCGCCGCAACTATTATGTCTGACTATTAAGTGTGCCAGCAATAACAAAGGGCTCAGTTTAGCCCGCGGCTGTAGTGGCATTGTGGCGCTCTTAAGTGCCGCATAGGAAAGCAAAATGGTGGCAGTCACTTGTTTAGGGCTTTCAGTGGTGTGACTTTATGTGAGCTTTATGCGACTTTCCGCTGCGGCTTTGAGCTTAAAGTAACCCTGACAAATTTTAGTAGCTGCATATCTCCAAGTGCAGTAGCAAGACAAATGTGTGGCCACAAAACACTGGCAATGGCAAGTTAATTTCATTTAACTGCAATACAATTACAACAATAAAAGCAAAAATTCTGAAACTACTGCAGCAGCTGCAGCTGCTTTGCTTATAAATCAGCAGCTGTAGCCAAGTCCACAAGGATTGCGAAAAGCGTTGAAACGGAATATTTGCAGTGGGCTCACAAGTGGTTAAGCGAGGTTGTGGCATATGCTCTGCAACGCAACTGGGCGGATGAATTTTAATAAAATCATTTACGTTTATTTTTTTAATGCTTTTTTAAAATTTCACAAACATTGTTGGTTAAAGATAATCAACTTCCACAAACTCACTTCAATTATAGTTTTCTTAAAATCATATATCACAATTAATATGCAAGGTTTTATATATTCCAAGTATATTTTATAACAATGCTTGCTTGAAATTCAAGAGAATTGAAATATTTTTGGTAAATAAATTAATTTAAATGCAAAGAGGTTGTTTGAGCTATTCTCATAATGCGCCCAAATTGTGTGCAATTTTTAATTAAATGTGTTTTTAATGAAAACTAATAGTTGATTTACAGAACAATTTTAAATATAATTTGTACATTTTCTTAATTGAAAGTTATATGCATTAAGTCAGTCCTAAATTACGCTAAGAAGAAGCGTTTAGCAATTTTCACCATTATTTAATAAATAAGTTTCAAACTTCTTTTTTCACAAAGCTTTTACAACATTTTTCTGACATCTTCATTGATATCTATGAGGATCTACTTCAACTTTTACAACTAATTTCCCTCTAGTTTGGACCGTCCGTTTTGTGTGTTTACTTTTATTGCACTTTTCATTAATACCGATTACATTGTGCTCGAGAGTAAAGTGCTGAAAGCGGGAAAAACGTAGCATAAAGTGAAATTAAATGGAATATTACGTATACGCAGCGTGCTAAGCTAGCGAGAATGGTCAGATAATAAGCAAAATGATGTCGCAAAATAGCAGCTTCTTGGCTTACAGCAAAGTTCAATGAACTCAACGCGTGTTTGGTGTATGGTGTAGAATGCTGTTTAATATTTAAGCAACCGCATATTGTCCGCACGCACACATCTCCACGTATATATACACACTTTGTGACAAATACGAGATGCGATAGAAATGGCAGCGTATCTGTTAAGTAGGTATAAAAACATGCATTTGGGTCAAGCCGTGCGCATCAATCATTGTTTTAATGGTTGTTATTCGGACAGCAATGGCCAGTCGTTGAGTTTTATGAACTACGCTTCAACCAAATCCACAAAAGCCAGCCCTAGGACTGTATTTGTCGACTGGCTCGGGGGCTGCCGGTGGCTGGCCACATGACTGATGTTTGCCATAGCACCCAAAAAAGTGCGCTTTAATTCGCCTAATGGCGAACATTTTGTCATCAGCTGGCTTAAATCATTTTGCTTGGCTCACTGGCTGCGCATATTTGGCGTTGATGTTGACACAAATTGAAATTAATAAAGCGTCCCCCTTCCCCCATTTACCACGAACATTAGCCGTGGGTTCGAGCGAGATGCGAGCTGTGCTTGCTTGTATGTTTTGTTGTGTTTGTTTACTTGACAAACTGTTGAGCGGCACTTTTGACAGCTGAGTGCGTAACCGGCACGAGCTAGCAAATGAATAGAAAGAGTGGAGCGAGTAGAGAAATGTGAAAAATGACCATAATTTTGGCTAACATAATTTTGGTTAGTTTGCTGGTCACAGATGCTGCGGCTACTGTGATGGGCTTGTGGCCAATGATAAAGCCAAAGAAGGCCAAGTGCCGACAAAATAGCATATTAGCCCATAGGGCTGGCTTGTGAACTATTGACTTATAAAAAGCTGCAGAAATCGGATTATGTGCTGTCAATGTTGGGAAAAAGCTTCTTAAATGTGGAACTTAAAGTGGATAATAAAAGGACACTAATATTTTATAAAAAAAGTAATATATGAAAAAAATGTTATGTCAAGCCATGTTTGCATGTTTTGCGCCAAGCCGGATTTTCATTTGCATTTTATTTCTTGCTATGAG